TCTTATTTTAGTTTTTTTTTTAAAAAAAAAATTTTTAAATTTATTAGGGGGTTTGAGAAAGATTAACCCAAAATGTATATGAGTTGTTTTAGTTTTTAGCAGTTTGGAGCAAATTGCTAAGTTATTAAATAATATTTTTGGTGTTTTGATTAAATATAAAATGTTAAACAGACGAATTTATTAAAAATTTGACGAATTTACCAAATAATCAGATTACAACAACAACAACAACAATAATAATAATAATCCCAAAAAAAAAAAAAAAAACTATATACAAAATAAAATTAAAATTAACCAAAAAAAAAAAAAAAAAAAAAACAAAGGCAAGCCACCGGCACCCTTTGTAAATGATGTGGGATCATTTTGATCCCACATTTAAAATGTTTGAAAAGAGAGAGCTCATCTATATAAGAGGAGCAATGAGACTCTTATAAACATAATTGCTTGCCCATCAATGTGGTCAAGTATTGAGAAGTCAAAAGGTTCTTATTTAAGAAGCTTTAACTTTGTCTTCTTATTTTAGTTTTTATTTATTTATTATTAGTAGGGGTTGTGGAAGATTAACCCAAAATGTATGTGTTGTATTAGTTTTTAGCTGTTTGGAGCAAATTATTAAGTTATTATATAATATATTTTGATTTTGATATTTTGATGTTTTGATTAAAGTTAAAATGTTAAAATGACGAATTTATTATAATTTTTGCAAATTTATCAATAATCAAATTACAAATAATAATAATAATAATAATAATAATAATAATAATAATAATAATAATAATAATAATAATAATAATAATAATAATAATAATAATAATAATAATAATAATAATAATCCAAACAAAACAATATACAAAATAAAATTAAATTTAAAATTAAAAATAATAAGAAGAAGACAAAAGGGATCCACGGGCTCCATTTGTAAATAATGCTAGATCATTTTGATCCCACATTGAAAATGTTTGGAAATAGGAGTTCTTGAGCTCCTCTTACAAACATAATTGTTTGACCATCAATGTGGGCAAGTATTGAGAAGTCCAAATGCTCATGTTTTATTTTTGAGTACTATTGACCCGACAAATTATGATGTGAAACTATGTCCACCTTGCATGGTAGACACGGTTCCAAAATTGTTCATAATTATGAATATATAGTTCTATAATTATGAACATATAATTATGTAATTATGAATATAGAGATTCAATAATTGTGAATATGAAGTTCAAAAATTATGAATATATAACTTTATAATTATGAACATATAATTAAGTAATTATGAACATATAGTTTTGTAATTGTGAATATAGAGTTCAATAATTATGAATATAAAGTTCAAAGATTATGAATATATAGCTTTATAATTATGAACATATAATTCAGTAATTATTAACATAGAATTGTGTCCACCTTGCAAGGTGGACACGGTTCCACAGCATAACTATTCGATTGACCTGTTACATATAATATATGTTCACCTATTGAAGCCCAACGAGTCAAAAGACTCTTATTTAATAAACCTTATCTTAGTGGCTTCTTATTTTAGTTTTCTTTTATAAAATTTATTAGGGGGTTTGGGAAAGATTAACCAAAAATGTAGATGTATTGGTTTAGTTTTTAGCAGTTTGGAGCAAATTGCTAAGTTATTAAATAATATGTTTGGTGTTTTGATTAAATATAAAATGTTAAACATTTGAATTTGTTAAAATTTTGTCAAATTTGCCAAATAATCAAATTACAACAACACCACGACGACGACGACGACAACAACAACAACAACAACAACAACAACAACAATAATAATAATAATAATAATAATAATAATAATAATAATAATAATAATAATAATCCAAATAAAATTAAAATTAACCAAAAAAAAAAAAAAAAAGACAAAGGGGAGCCCGTCCCTTTGTAAATGATATGAGATTATTTTGATCTCACATTGAAAATGTTTGAAAAGATAAGCTCTTTAACTCCTCTATATAAGAGGTACAAACATAATTGTTTGTCCATCAATGTCGCAAGTATTGAGAAGTTAAAAGGTTCTTATTTAAGAAACCTTAGATTTGTCTTCTTATTTTAGTTTTTATTTATTTATTCATTATTTATTATTTATTAATTATTAGTGGGTTGGGAAAGATTAACCCAAAATGTATGTATTGTTTTAGTTTCTAGCAGTTTAGAGCAAATTATTAAGTTATTAAATAATATTTTTGGTGTTTTGATTAAAGATAAATTGTTAAAATGACGAATTTGTTAAAATTTTGGTGAATTTTTCAAAATTGTCAATAATAATAATAATAATAATAATAATAATAATAATAATAATAATAATAATAATAATAATAATCATAATCATCATCATCATCATCATCATCATCATCATCATCATCATCATCATCATCATAATCATCCAAACAAAACGATATACAAAATAAAATTAAAATTAGAAAAAAATAAGAAGAATGATGTGGGATCATTTTAATCTCACATTGAAAATGTTTGGAAAAATGAGCTCTTGAAAATGTTTACAAACATAATTGCTTGCCATCAATGTGGGCAAGGAGTGAGAAGTCCAAAGTTTTTTTTTTTTTTTTTTTTTTTTTGGTTTCCTTTTTGTTTAGAAGTAAATGAATATTAAAAATAGAAAGAAAATATTTCAATAATAATATTTCACATTATGAAGGAGTAAATGCATATTTTTAAAAATAGTAATGTAAATTAAAAATGGAACGAAAATATTTCATTAATAATATTCTACATCATCAAATTTAAATGTAATGGAAATTAGGTAAAAATATTAATACATCTATATTCTAATTGACTGAAAAAAATAATAATAATAATTGACTGAAAATAAATCTAATATTACTAATTGACTGAAAATTTTAAAAGGAAATGAATATTAATAATTGACTGCAAATAAAAAAATGCTCCATAATTGACTAAAAAAATTGACCAGATCATTGCATTTTAATTAAAAATTGGAGAAAAATATTTCAATAATAATATTCTACATTATCAATAGTAAATGCATATTTTAAACAATAGTAAAGGTGAATTAAAAATGAAACGGAAATATTTTAATAATAATATCTACAATTCTACATCATCAATTAAAAATAGAACGAAAATTAGGTAAAAATATCAATACATTTGATATTCTAATTGATTAATTGACTGAAAATAAAAAAGAATAATTGGCTGAAAATGAATCCGATATCACTAATTGATTGAAAATATAAAAGGATAACTAATCGAGTAATATTCTACCATTATATATTTTAATCCAAGTAATCCGTCCTGATGGATTGAAGGTGTTAGCTCTAGACGAAGATGAATAGGATTGTGTTGTCACTACCAATATCGTCTACAAAGAGGTTTCAATAATGTGTAAATATAATCGGTGATATTAAGTTTTTTTTAAATGAAAAAATTGTTATATATCTGGACAAAAAAATATATCTTCCATACAAATGAATAAGGATACCAATTCATTTCTATAACTGAGTTGTTAGAGAACGAGCACATTTTACTAATTTATGAAAATTCTAAACAATGATAAATAAAATCTTCAAAGTTATAGCACCGTATGCGTACATCTAGACATTAGCTATTAATTTGAGCAATTATTTGCACAAATTCAAGCAATGATACCATCAAAATATATAAACGATCCAAACCATATATTTAATTGCACTATATAATATTTGATGTTCTAATTTAAATAATTATATATCGATTTATATGTTCTTAATATATTACAACAAATCAATTCCGTGCATCGCACGGGTGCAAATACTAGTTGGAGAATAATACTAAATATGGGAAATGAGATGGGGCGAGACAGTGACTTTATAGTCTTTTAGAGCGGGGCGGGTGGGACAGTGGATGACCGACCCTGATATTGGAGGACACGAGGAGGGATAAAGATGGAATGATGGGCGGTGAATGGGCGGTCAGGATTGGACTTTAACGCATCAACACGGACCCCACAATTACCTGGAGTTGTTCTTTGTCAAAGTCAGTGCTTCTTTTGTAAGGAATTGCCCCTCCAACAAGAAAGAACAGTGCAGTTGTGGGGAACATCAAAGTGAAAACAGCTCAAAACATGTTAGCGTAGGTTCGGTTAAGGTTAAAAACCATCAAGCTTACAAATGACCAACTCACACTTTTTCCGATATCAAAAAATCGCATGTCTAAATTAGTATCACGTTTGTAAAATTAGTTATCAAAAAGAGAATAGAAATCAACTAGGAAAAGATCAGAAACACATTTGCAGTACCCATCCAGCGAAGTTTGCTTCTCAATGTATTGTGCTTAATGTGGCAAAATACAAGTCATAGAAATAGCTCGAGTAGCATAAGTGATCATACTGTCACGGACTATTTTTTCGTGATCGTGTTAAGACTCAAAGATGGAAAGGGCCAACTGGTTAGCTTGTCAAATGGGTGACAGAGGCGTCAATAGCGTTAGGATTGTTCTGTCTTAGACGCTAAGGTCTTGGACTTGACTATGAAGGGGACCGATGCCATTCAAAGGGCACAATTGGTTGGGAGCTATTGCGGCTTCCCTTATGAGCCCATGACAGAACGAAACCAATATGGTACGTATGTAGGTAAGGCTGGTCTGTGAGGAACCCCGGAATGCCGCACGGGCAATGGGCGCTGCGCTGGACTCTATGCCCGTGTTAAAGAAGATTGGGAGTTCAGAATCTCCTCTCCTATAAAAAAAAAAAAAATCAATATAATTAACACTTTGCCTTTAATTAGATCAGCTTAATTGCTCGGTAAGAATGAAAATTTTATATCATAGTCATCCCTGTCTTGTCTAACCTTTTACTTGTGAATCACTATCAAGACTGACCACACATTTGAACTTGACTATAAAATAAGTAATTCTGGAACCCACAATTTTGTGAAGAGACCAACTAACACTTAAAATGCAGCATGATGCTAACACATAACACAGATGGACTCATAGTACATCTATCAATGCAACATCTATGAAGACACAATTAACAGTAAAAAGGTCTTTGATTTGATGAAATGAAACAAGGTACATACTACATAGTGCAGAAAGCAACTTATTGTAAGACTACATTATTCATCATCATCCTATGACTACATATAACACCACTGTTAATGATCATGTCTGTTAGGCAGCTTCTGGTTCTGATTTCTTCCAGAAATCAGAAAAGGTTGGGAGCTTGATCTCACCCGACTGAGACAGTGGGATGGTAAAGTTTCCAACGACAGGAAGATCAATGATTAGACCCAAATCAAGTTGATAGTCAATGTCCCAATCTCCACCAATGTCCCTCGCCAAACTCACCACCACACTGTGTGGCACCTTCACTGCCACATCAAGGGTGGTTGTTTCCTTTCCCGTAATTGACCCTGGGTCTGGAATCGTGCCTGAAGCTATCACCCTAACACAATTCCAAATTAATTCAGATCAGTTTCGTGCAAACATCACCATTTCAAACACTCATTACCAAAATAAGCATTAAACAGATCGAGAATCATAAATTTCCGATTTGTAAGGGTTGACTTTGAGTTTTTTCCATAGGAATTTCTGATCTAATTTTTTGAACCAGTGATTGATGGCGCGCAGGATTGGTCACAAGTCACAATCGATTGATTATAGAGCTAACCAAAATTTAATCGATCAGAAAAAATAATGAAAAAGAAGAAGGAAACCTGCCGGCGCTCTTGAGCTCGTATTTGATCTCGCAGATGGGAATGGAAACAGAGTAAGGGTTCTTGACGTCGACCTTAGCTAGAAAGGAAAAACCGTCGAATCCAACACCTTTGATATCAACGTCGGCGATGCTGGCTTCCGGTTTCTCCATCTCCGCCAGCTTTTCTCCCACGAAATTCTTAGCCTTGTCCACCAGATCCATTTCTCAAGCTCGAAACTGAAACTAGAAGATCTGTATTTTGTCTCTTTATGCACGTACGCTAATGTATTATGTATGTCATGCAGTGTCACAAACACAGGGAGGGGACTTGTAAACGTGGAAGTGTATGGAAAATGGAAAAGGATATTTATCATGCCAAATGCCAATAAAGGAAGCATGTGGACTATTGATAGATCTAGGTGGGCTGTGGATGCGTAAATGCCGTGGCCAATACGCGGCAATAATCGGTAATGCCATTTACTCCATATTAAATGACTTCTTATCCTCAAGTATCTTGTGCTCAGATGACAGGTATATTTGAACGGATACTATAATATAATAGAGTCAGTAACATTCAAAAACAAATAAATTACAATAACTTAGTAAAAAGTTCAGGGTCAAATGTCAGTGCGCACCTACACTGTAGCTGTCAAGGTTCAAACAATTTAATATAAGTATATTTAATAAATAACAAATCATTTAATATATATTAATACCATTCAATAGGAATATGATGAATGCAGTTCAAATCTCAGTTCCGATCCATGGGGAGTTAATCACGGTGTCACATGTATGGTCGGTAGATTTATTGATTACAAGCCAAAAGTCAAGACCACGCAACCCAAAAAACTGCAGTATAGAGGTAATTGATCAAGCAATTGGTAGCAGTTACGGATTTTCTGGTAAATCGAAGTATACTCAACATACCGGCCCAAGTATTATTGTGTAAAGCCAATCTCTTTTAGACTTCGGGATTAAGAGGATCATTACAAAGACAGGAAGCAATTACAGCTGAACTATGTTCGACAACGTCAAGAAAAGCCCATTTCGACCTGTGAATTCAATTTGATCGGTTCTCTACCCGACTCAAAATTCATGACATTAGGACATTTTAAAAATTAAAAAAAAAAAAAAAAATCTGGTGTCTAACATCAGGAGAATGTATGATCCACAACTATGGATTTCAGATCTACATCAGCTGATAATCATCTTGTTCAGGAACTCGGCTTGTTCGGGGAAATACTCTAACAGTTCATCCTTTGTAACCCAAGCAAAATCGTCACATTTATGAATATCAAACTTGTTGGCTGCGATCACTTGGGATTTAAAGAAGAAGCGCTGACAAAGTGAATGAGAAATAAGAAAACACAGGATAGAAAATAGAAAACAGAGTGCCATATTGGATACCCCAAGCCACTAATAGACTGCAAACCATCAAAAACTCACATACCTTTAAAGATGGAGTCTCCTTGTGATTCTCGTTAAGCTGTGTAACCATATGGCCCATTGGAGCATTCCCAACAAAATAAGTGTGAGAGAGGTCTCCTATCACAGATTTTAATGCAGACTCCGCGCACTGCAAATAGATAATAGCATATATACTAATTTTTCCATCGTAATAACAATCGTAAAAAGTCACTAATCTTCATGTGTTAATGAAGGATGATACAGTTTACAGTACTTACCCTGCGCAGAGTCTCTTCTGATTCATATGCTTTTTCTGGGAAATGCCAGACAGGCTTCCCACTAGAAAGTGAGGTGCCATGAAGGAGAAGATAGAGCCTTTTGTCAAGAGCTCTCTGTAATGACCTTAAATATGCAGGCAAAATTCCATAGTTAATGTGAAGGCAGTCCAAGTTAGGAAAGACATACTACAGAAATAAGAGTAATACTCCACGATATAGTATACACGTAGCACATACTTGCCATAGGCTTTTCACACAGTCAAGCTATTCTAAACATGGTGAGGATAAACAAAATAAAAGGAACAAATTGATCAATAGAAACATTGCTCCAGATAAATTCATGAAAGACTTTTGTTTTATATTGATTTTAACTGCTTTACACCTCTTTCAAGTTCCCTTCCTCCATGAACAAAGTATCTTCTGTGACTTAGGTATACAGTTACCAATATTTAGGTATATATTCAAGCTAAGCAAATGGAATACTACTCAGGCTCAGCTCACCATGTGCTAAATTAAGAGATTCAAGCTTGAGTTCAAGCCTGGGACTCAGGCCAAACAATACTTTCTTCTTAATGCCAAATACTATGATACTCAATCTAGTATTCTAGTCAACCAAGTTATTTGCCAGTTAAAGCTCTGCTCATGCTCAGAATACCCTAAGTCAATTTGATTAGAAGATTCGCATCATTTCCATTTTCCACAACTACCTCACAAAAATTTTGAAGGTAGTCACTACAGCTCCTCCATAGTAATTTTTTAAAAGAAACCAGTGCACGAGACCATCCGTTGATTCAATCCCCTTCAGCGCTGATTATTGCAAATATCAAAATGTTAACGAGAAGTTTCTCCAATGTTAATTTCTCTTTTGTGAAACGTTCAGCGAATAGGGTTGCTCACGAGTTAGCAAGAGTACCATGTTCTTTGTCTGAATGTAAAGTTTGGTTTTGTTTTCCTCCTACTGTCATTGTTGATAGTTTGAGGATGGACTTGAATGATTAATGATATGTTCTATTTTACCAGTGCACCTCCTTCAAAGTAATCCAGCAAATTCTTCACTTTCATTTTTCATACAGAGAACTAAGAATCAATGGAAAGCAATGCTTTCTGTATATAAGTACTTGGAAAAACATTACTCCAATTTCTTTTTCACAAAGAAAAACAAAAAAGGAATAGCTTGTGGTTGAAATTTCTGTTCAACTCAACACAAAAATGACAAGTAATAAATGCAGTTAGTTACTCACTTTCTGTCATTAGTTTTGTCGGCCTCAGTGATCCGAGGAGCTGGTGTATAATCAATTTGGTATTCACCTTTACCCCTGGAAAAAAAAAAACAAATATATATGAACACAATTGCTGGTATCATTGATGGTTAAAAGGCTCAAATATACTCCACTGAATACTTAAGGGCACATTCAAAAATTTGGGAGCATCATGGCATCCCATAAAATATGAAAAAAGGAGGATAGAAAGACAATATTGAGCCTAAAATAATAAGACAAAAGCAAGATCATACACTTGCATTCATTTCAAACTTCAACAATGCTGTCAAAAAATGGGAATGTTAAGCCTTGAAAAACAGATAAATAAACATCCAATAATACGACCAAAGCAAGATCAAACAATTCCATTCATTTCAGACTTCTTCAATGCAGTCTTAGAGAACTAGGCATGAAATATCAAATATAAGCTGCAAAAGTTCTGGAAAATAATTACATTCATAAAAAGTAAAGCATTACCTGGTATCAGCTTTTTTCAAGAAATTTTCTGGATACTCCCGTCTATATTGTTGCCGCCATCGAAACCTAAAAATGCACTACCATTATAACAACACAACGTCTTGCAAATTGACAATAGCATCCTCATTAAAGCATTATTCATTTTAATTTGTTTTCATTTTCTAAGAATGAAGGCTTAAAACACACAAAAAGAATGGACTGGTGCATATATTGAGAGCTCACTCATCATCATGAACTGAAATAAGATAGAAATGAAGGTTAAAAAAAAAAAAAAAAACACTCACGAAAACTCCTGAAAGGCATAGACAACAGGATCGATCTTCGGAACCACAACTGGAAGTCTCTCAAAGAGGACAGACGCCACAATTTTATCGCCGCTCGAAGATGTGCTGAACCCTCGTTTTGCTAGCAAAGCTAGGCCCAAACACCTCCGCATTTTCGCAACCTAAGAGATGCCTGGGGAAAAAAACAAATGCCATCAAAACCAGCAAAACTTTACCAGATTTGAAAAGTAATTTATGTATCTGCATGACATATCATGGATTTCTCAACGCTAGTGAGTGCAGAATAGCAAGTGAAGACCAAAATTGGAGAAGAGAAGCTTAGCAGAGACCTAGATTGACGGAGTAAAGGAGGCCGTAACGGTGGTAGTGACGGAAAGCCGCCGGGAGAAATTGCCAAATCGGGAGGGGTTTAGTCAGGGTATTAGAGCTAGGGATTTGGGATGCCGGACTGATCCCACTTCCCTTTTTCATTTTCGGCTTCGAGGTTTTTTTTACTATAGCCCGTTACAATATAATAATAAAATAACTATTTTTACTAATTACATGAAATTTTAAACATAATGTTATAAATATTGACATTGACTCATTTAATTAATTTACAAATATAATCAATAAGTGCTACTATCTATAATTGTTAGTTCTCTTTCACACAGCTTCGTTCCGGGCATTCCATAAATGATAAAGGACTCCTACCAGTGTGACAAATTGCTCCTCCGTTAAGTTGGCCATAGCACCCATTATCCATTCTGGAAAAGTAGCAGCAATAATATTTGTAATAGGCAAACCCGAAATATTCCAAACAATGGAGGCGTGCGGCCGCGGCAAGAATGGCGTATACCCAGGCACACTGCCCGGGCAGTATTCCACCAGCGCAGCAGCCTACACCGGAGCTTCACGGACGCCCGCGTTGCTTCTTCGACGGAGGTTTTCGACCGCAGTCGGGCGACGCGACTTATGGTGTGGTATTACTACACCCGGATGGTTCATTCAAGGCCGCAACAAATGGCAAACTCATGACTTGTTTGTCACCTCTTATGGCGGAGGCCCTAGCATGCAGAGAAGCGTTATCTTGGCTTAAGGACCGGAACGAACTTGATGTGGATATGCTGACTGATTGCACACAACTACGACATCACTTACTATCTAGTCGTACGACCATCCTATCTTATGAAGGAGTGGTGGAGGATCAATGTCGGGCAATTATGGTCCTTTTTACGTATTGCTCTTTTAATATTGTCTCTAGACTAGTTAATGTTAGTGCTCATACTTTAGCTACGCTAGCTTTTGATCAGGAACACTCTATGTATTGAGACTATGACCCTCCTGACTGCTTGATTCCTTTCATTAATTAAAATATGCCAACTTACTTGGCTTTCAAAAAATCTATATTTGTTAGTTATAGTAAAAAAAAAAAAAAAAAAAAAAAAAAATTGAAACTTTAGTTATAGTAAATTGGTGATAATAATAATAATAATAATAATAAAAGTAATCAACTTGTTTAATAAGCCAAATCCAAAAGCCTAGACTTAATGAAATGTGTAGTATGCCATTAATATATTACATATAAAGTTGTTATTACATAGAACATGTAAGATGTTACATAAAGACATTACTTGGTAGGTGTCTCTAATCAGGTACTTTTTAAAAAAAAAAAAAAACTTAATTAATTAAATAAACAAAGTCTAGTAATTTTATACAATAATGCTTGAAGTGGCATCTTATAGAATATTGATTAATTTGTAAAATGTGTCATGTACTCGTTAATCATTATTCTGTTACGTTTCTTTTGTCAATGATAATGTTAATAGTCTAGAGGTTATACACAATGTAATGGTATAAGGAGTATTATTCGAGCAAAATGAGATGTGATTAAGTATTATTGAGAATGGTCATTAGTTATAGTATTGAGGAATGAGACACATGTCAATATATTGTCGACAAGATTAACGTGGCGCTTCGGTAATAGTTTGTCAAGTTTATTGTGAAATGTCTCAGTATTTTTTTTTTTTTGAAAAGAGCCTGCGCGGCATTTATTGAAAATATGCTGAAATAGTGTCTGGCGGACCATTGTCCGAGTACATCGGTGCTGAATAACTAAAGGCCGAAGTGGCTAAAATGTGTGCTAAACGATTATCTGATCTAGGAACATAATTAACTGAAACATAATTAAAGGAAACCATCCGATTTCTGCAGGCATCAATGGCATAGCCGAGGTACGAACGTGGTGTATCCTTTGCTTGTGACAAGTACTGTTGTAGTGACAAACAATCCGTTAGTATGTCCACCGACCTCTCCCCACGATCCCACAACCAAGATAATACTTCTTTGCACGCAATTGCTTCTGCCATAAACGGGGAGAAACAGTTTACCAAAGGCGCCTGTAGAGCTGTGATATACAATCCCTGTTCGTCTAGTAGTATTGCCCCAACAGCGGCTTTACTTGTGGCATGGACAAAGGCTGCATCAATGTAGCATTTCTTCCGTGAGAGGGCAGCCGTGTGGATTGTGGGCGGTGTGCGCGCATGCGGCAGTGCCGTTTCCTGCCGCTGCTCGGCAGTTGCCGTGGTGGATCCACGCTGAGCATGCAGGCGTTGCGGGCGGTCCGGGTGTGCAATTCGCCACGCCCGGATCGCTGCGGCTACGGTTGCAATTATCCTTTGTGGTCTGGGCAAGTATGCATCCCACACAGCTCCATTCCTTGCTCGCCATATATAGTATAGCAGGCCTACTGCATAAATAATTCCATCATCATCTAGAATATTTAATACTTCATTAAACCAAACATGAAAAATATCTGTGATAGTATTGGGGGTTGGAAGGTGAGATTGTGCCCAAATGTTCCTTGTATAATCACATTCAACCAAAGAGTGCATAACATTCTCATGCATAACCCCACACATAGCACATGTTGGGCTAATCTCCACTCTCTTTATAATGAGGTTCGTTGTGGTGGGCAATATATTATTCAAGGCTCTCCATAAGAAAGTTTTACATCTCGGGGGTACTTTGAGTTTCCATAATTTGGGCCATTTATCAAACATTCCTGTGGTGTGTACATAATCTCCCACCACTTGCCTGTAGCCGTTTTTTACCGAGTATTCTCCGGTTACATCACCATGCCAATACCACATATCCTCATAGTCTGGTGACACAGGTATTTTCAATATTCGCATCACATCCTCCGGAATAAAAATATCATTTAAAATTTCATGGTCCCAGGTCGCCGTCTCCTGGTCTATTAATCTCATCACAGTTGCCTGCGCCAAATATGGTGGTTTGTCAGTGATTATTTTCGCATTATTATCATCCTGGAGCCATGGATGATCCCATATAAGAGTTTCTTTTCCATTCCCAATTCTGCGTCTGACACCCCCACAAACTAATTCCTGTGCCGCCATAATACTACGCCAGCAGTAACTTGGATTATTCCCCACAGAAGCATCAAAGAAAGTCCCTTTAGGATAATACCTGGCTTTATATATTTTAGAAACTAGCGTTTCAGGTTTGGTGAGCAAACGCCAGGCCTGCTTTCCCAACATAGCTAAATTAAAGGCATGCAACTCCTTAAAGCCCAATCCTCCATATTTCTTGGGGATACATAATTTATCCCATGCCTTCCAATGGATGCCCTGATCATCCTTAGCTCTCCACCAGTAACGATTCATAGCTCTCTCAATGGCCGTGCAAGTATTCAAAGGTAGTAAAAAGACACTCATAGAAAAGGTGGGCATAGACTGTGCCACACTTTTCAATAAGACCTCCTTACCTGCCTGTGAAAGCAGTTTTTTATTCCAGGACCCAATCCGCTGCCTGATCTTGTCATCAATGTAATAGAATACTGCTCTCTTATTCCTGCCCACAAACGATGGAAGTCCTAAATACTTCCCAAAATTCGGCGCCTGAACCACTCCCAATATATCGGCAACCTCCTCTCTCTGCTCATCCCGCGTATTCTTACTATAGCAAATACTTGACTTATAGTAATTCACTGCTTGCCCAGACATTTCCTCGTAAGCCGCTAAACACTGTTTTACCACACTGGCTTCCTGCGCTGTTGCTCTAAAAAAGAGTAAGCTGTCATCTGCAAAAAACAAGTGGGATATAGGGGGGGCTCCCCTAGCTACTCTACACCCATGTAGATCTCCTCTCAATTGTGCCTGCTGTAATAGCAATGAAAGTCCCTCCGCACAAATAATAAAGAGATAAGGTGACAGTGGGTCACCCTGTCTCAATCCACGGGTCGGCATGATCTGGTCACTACAAGTCCCACCAATCTGAATAGTATACGAAACTGAGGTCACACACAGCATTATCAAATCCACCCACCTTCCATCAAAACCCAATGCTAACATCATACTACGCAAGAATGGCCACTCCATTCGATCATAGGCTTTTGCCATATCCAGTTTCAAAGCCCCCCATCCTGTGATTCCACATTGTTTTCTGTTCAAAAAATGCCCCACCTCTGCAGCAATCAAAATATTATCTGTTATTATCCTGTCAGAAATAAAAGCACTTTGGGTGTCAGATATAATATCTCCCATAAGTGGTTTCATCCTGGCCGTTATAACCTTAGCCATAATCCTGTACACCACGTTACTCAGTGCTATAGGTCTGTAATCCGAGACCATCTCTGGGGTTTTCTTCTTAGGGATCAATATTATATTCGTATCATTCAGGCGAGCTGGAAACGAGCGATTATTAAGACAATCCACAATATATGCTGATACATCACCACCCACTACATCCCAGAAATGCTGGTAGAAACCCGGATTCATTCCATCCGGTCCTGGTGCTTTGTTAGGAAACATTGAAAACAGAGCACTCTTAACCTCACTAGCATCAAAGGGCCGCAACAACAACTCATTCTGAGCCTGTGTTACCCGAGAGGCTATATTTCCAAGAAACTCCCCACTATCACTTGGAGGGCCAGATGTAAAGATAGTCTTATAATAATTGTAGATAACATTCCTCATGGCATCACCCTCCACCCAATCCCCACTATCATTCATAACTTTTAAAATAGTATTCTTTTTCTTGCGATGAGATGCATACCTGTGGTAGTATTTTGTGTTAGCATCCGCGTTCTTAAGCCAATGCTGCTTGGCCCTCTGCCTCCAGTATGTATCCTCCTGGGCCTCAATACGACATAGGCACTCCTCCAAAAGTTGGAACTCAGCTAAAGAGCTCGGATCATTACACCCCCTGAGGCGCAATTGCTCCTTTCGCAGGTTTCTAATCCGTTCCCCAAACTTATGAAAACGCTCTCCTCCCCAACGCGACAATCGATTTCCACAAATAGAGATACATTCCTGCAATCCCCTACCAGCACCTTCATCCCACGCCTTCTCCACCACATCCCTACATCCTTCATCATGCAGCCATGCCATCTCAAAACGGAACCCTCTTCTCAGACCACCCATCCTTTCCCGAAGATTCAGAATCCCAAGGAAAAGAGCGGAATGATCTGACTTTCGGGTCAATATATTTTGCACACTAGCATCCGGCACAATGTCACGCCAACTCTGACTAGTCAAAACCTTGTCCAATCTTTCTTCAATCCAATTCGGTGTGCCTTTTCCTTTTTCCCAGGTAAATGGATATCCCATCATTGGCATCTGCGCTAATCTACACTCCTCAATAGTCTCACCAAATCCATGCAATAAGCTCAGAGGATGGGGGTTTCCACCTCGTTTCTCAGCTTGATAAAGTAAATCATTAAAATCACCAATCATCACCCACGGTAGATTCGATTTGCCAGCTAAGGTACGAATAAGATCCCATGAATCTCTCCTTTGACCCCTCTGTGAAAAACCATAAAAGCCAGTCATTCTCCACTTCTCAAACCCCGGCATAGTCACCTCAACATCCACATAGTTTGTAGAGTAACTAATCAATCTCGCTGTATTATTCGTTCTCCACAATAGAGCCATTCCACCACTCAAACCAGAACTATTAGTACAAAAAAGGCCATCAAAACCAAGTTTAACCCGAAGACGCTCCGCATGATCACGATCAACCTTGGTTTCTATGAGAAATACAAAGTCGGGTTTCTTCGAGGACACCATGCCCTCAATCTCGCGAACTGTCTGTGGATTACCCAAGCCACGACAGTTCCAACTTATGGTACTCATTGGGACCGGCGGACCTAATCCACAGGTCCCGCCAAAAAAGATTCAGAATCAACAACCATGTCTCCATTCACAGCATTCACCTCCCCTCTGTCCGTCCTCCTCCTTTTGGGATCTACCCGAATTCCCACGCCCTCACCCCCAACGCCCTCACCGCCCATCCCCTCCACATCTCCAGCCTTCGAACCCACCCCACCCGTGGCCGTAGTCCCCTCGACCCGAGACAGTCCACCCCTCCCAACCCCAGCAGCCACCGCCATTCCCCCTCCCTCACTCCCATAGCCAATCTCACGCCTCCTCTCTTGGCCTAGTTGAAACCATTTTTCCCCCAATGTCTTCGCCGGACCCGTACCCCCCGCCCTCATCGACACACCAAACGGATATTGTTCCGGTCGTAACAACGAACGGCGAGCTTGCAAGCAAAATTTATCCGTATGGCCCATCTTTCCACAGAAAAAGCAAAACATGTGGAGGCGCTCATATTTAAAATTTATCCATGTCCAGGAACCATCTCTCAGAATCATCTTCATTCGTCGCTTTAGAGGATTTGAGACATCGTGGGTGACTTTAACCCTATAGAAGGAAGTTCATTGCCTCTCAAAATTTCGTTCATCATAGCGCAAGAAAACCCCAACATAATCCCCAATTCTCTCCAACACTTTAGCCGTACGGTATCCCTGTGGAATGTCCGAAACCTGTACCCATAAGTCCACCGTATTCAGACTAACCTGTAACGGATCATCACCCTCCTTCAGGACTTGGCATAGCAGCGTCGCATTCTCAAACGCCCAAGGTCCCTCATCGATAACCCGTCTCATGTCCGGTTCATCAAAGAAGGTAAATAAGAACAAATTGGCCTGCACATCCGTTATCTCAATGCCCATCAGAGGCTTCCATGCCGAAGCCATAACGCGTTTCATGACCTCGGTCTTGAGGTTCCGATCAGTCAGAAAACGGCCTACAATGGTCCAAGTCGACTTCGCCGCCGGTAGAGCTTGGACGCCGAACTCCTCATCCTCGAAGCGGATTCCCTGTTCTTCATCGTCCAGGGTGATGTCCGCTGTGTGTGTTATGATATCCTGCACGTCCATCGGAGATCAGCAGCACTTCGCCGTTCGTCGTCAACCTTCGCATGCACTCTTTGCCGAAACCCTAGATCACAGGGGGGAAGATAGGGAAACCCTAGGTCGCAGGGAGTATATATATGAGTAAACGTTTTGACAAGTGGTGATTAATTAATCTTTGATGATTGGCTTTATGGCCTCCTAGATCGGGAAGGGGTTAGGGGAAGTCTTGATCATGTTCGAATTAATATGCAATATACACTCCATATATCCCCACCAATCAATTTTAATATTATGATGTGTAACTTTTTTTATTATTATTATTATATCCTATGCAAGACTTTTAGAATGGTTTATTAGTTTATATTAGTATTTGTCCCTTGCGATGCACGAAAAATATGTTATAAAAATATACCCTATATGCGGTTTATTCATATATAAAATTTTTGTTATTTAATAATTATTATGAGTAAATTCCTATGATAAAATTATGATCATAAATATATTTACAATTAAAATAATATTTAAGGTGGGTGATTACTACAAATCTTAAACTATATTAAAAATTTAGTACATAGTATTTAATATTACAAATTTTTAAGAACTTAGTAAACTACAATAGTAATTGAATTACAATTTTAGAGTCACCACGGATCAAAATTTTTAGACCTTTGAGATTTCTAACTCTAGATCTAGCAACATACAATTGACCTTTAAAGACCAAAATCACAACCTTAGTTCGAACATTGATTTTTTCTTCCAAATACTATCGAATTAAGTGTGTAATCAATAAAAGTTGAGAACTAATAATTCGAGAATATAATCTTAATGTACTAAGCCTATTTCACGTCAATTAAGTTGGAGAGTGTTGTTGGATAGTATCCGATGAATCCACGAATAACGCATCTTTGTCTACGTAGTCCTCAATATGTACATCAACAATCTTAAATATTAGGACGCCTAGCTATGCCATATATTAATTTCAAACTTATGAACTTTGGGGTTGCATGCAATAAAAAGTATATTTTAAATATACTAAGGGTACATTATATATGTATGTAAGGTACTTTCAATATAAAAATAATATAATTTTAATATATTAAAAATGTATTTGATATTCATGATCCATACAATTATGTGGACCATCGTTCACACAATAATTTGCCAGTAGAAATTGAAATATAAATAAATATAATAAATATATATATATATATATATATATATATATATATATATATATATATATATTAGAAACTGTCAGTGAAAATTATTATCATTATTATTATTGCAATTATTATTATTATTGTTATTGTTATTATAATTAACAATATCATTATGGTCTTGTGAAAATTAAATGTTGATTATCACCATTTAATTTTTACAAGACCATATAGCTTTATTATATATAGGATTTACATTGGCACACAACTCATTATATTTAGCCAATTGGACCTCTTGCTATGATCTATTCGTTCTTAGAACATCCCCAATAGGTTTTTTAGATAGTTTGTTTAAGTGTAAAATTGTGAGTAGGTTATTTTTATTTTTATTTGTGCAAATGCAAAACTTTTGTGGGATCCATTAAAGTTAAATTAAAAGTCTAGCAAGTGAGGTACACATGATGCGCCCATGTGTCACTTGGCCGGCACACAAATAAACTTTTTTGTCCTCATTTTTTCCCCATTTTTTCGCTCACATTTTTTTTTTTCTAGTTGGCTTGCAGAAAACTTACATTGTTGAAGTTGTTATTTCATTTTTTGGAAAGACTTAGTTAACCATCATCCCTTATCCAAATGCTTTCAAAATTAATATTCATAGTATAAGTTAATTGCTAGAGATCATTTAGATAGCTACATTTCATATATGTAACAGAACATTTGCATTTTAATAATTCGAGACTGATTTTATATAACTTTACTATATACCCTTAGCAGAGAGGCAGAGACAACTTTGTACTACAACGTTATCAAAGGGTGGATTCTAAAATCGAATATTGTCACTTTCAGATTCTATGTTCTCTGTTATTTCATTCTTTCTATCTTTGACGGCCCAAAATGAAAAGCCGCAGCGATGAAATGAAAGACGCGTGACAGAGAAGAACAGCATCAAAGTTTGACTCCAATTTTTTATGATTCCCACTTTCAAGAAGTCAACCGCCGCCGCCGGCGGTGGTTGCGGCATTGTTCGGAAGCCAACATTGGAACTGCATGGCGCCCTGAAAGTTATCGGAGAAGGAATCTCCGGCGTCGTCCGATTTCAGCGACTCGCCCAGCTCCGCCATTCCCTCAAAGAAATCGTCCTCCTCCTCCGGGGCGTTTCCGTCCATTCCCATGTTCGACACTCCAAATTCATCGTCAAAAACACCGCCCTTCTCATCACGGCTGCTTTCTTGCTTCTCCGGCGGCGGCGAGCTAGTGCTGGGCCTGTTCGTTTCACTCCCCGACGTGGTTGTTTGATGGCTCGTCCCCTTCCGGCGCGTGCTTCCGGCGAGGGAGTTCCGGTGCGTAGGCATAGGGTGGTTGTGCTCCGCCGTGTAGGTGACGATGAACATATTCGGATCGGATCTATTCCGCTCCACTTGTTTCCTCGCCAAACATCCCTTCGACGTGCTACATCTGTAATAACCTCTGCAGAAAAAAAAACAAGAAAATTATGACTGACCAAGAACAAGAAGTTTTATTAACGTTTTGATTACTCAAAACACAGAAAATGACAGATCAACTAAAATTTTGATTGATAAGCCATTTACTAAACAGGTCAAAACCAAAACTATCACACATAAAATATACTCAAAGAAGAAGATGAAGAGCTCGCTTTTACCTTGGATATGGTGAGCCTTTAATAGGTTTTTGCCCATATTTTCTCCAAGACCACATATCAGAAGCCAAATCTTCAGCCGGAACTTGACACAGCCTCTTCGTCTGGTTCTTCCTGTAAAAGAAAACAAGAAAAACTGCATTTTCTTCAATGGTTTTTGCTAAAAAAGTTCACTTTTTTTTCCCCAGAAATTGATGAACTTCAGATTACCTTCTTTTACCCGCTGGAGTCTGGGGACGAGAGTTACTGGAAGTAGTTGAAGAAGCATTAGAAAAGAGAGATTGGCTGTTTGCCTGTATCCTTGTGGCAGTGACGTTAAATTGACTGGGGAGTGAACCTTGTAATCCTCGGAGAACAGGGAAGGGCGGCGGCGGACTTTGCGGCGGAAGAGGCTGCTCTGACGGCGGCGCCGGGCGGTGGAGGAAAGGCAGGTAAAGGTCATGCAACTCTTCGTTAAACCAGGTAGTGCTGTTGTCCGTTGATGAGCTGAAGTAGAAAGGATCATGAGAGCAGTCCAGGTTTTCGTCTTGTTGCCGTGAGTTGAAGCTGCAAAAAGGAGAAGTGGTGGCGCCGCCGCCGCCGGCGGTGGTGGAGGTGACGGCGCAACCTCTGACCACTGCATGTAGATCCCAATCGGGCTCCATTTTTGTTGTCCTTGACTTTGATAGAGAGAGAGAGGGGCCGCGAGGGGAGAAATACAGAGAGAAGGCGCCAACTTTTGGAGGTGGGGGAATTGGGAGAATAGAAAGGGATTTTGGGGAATAGTCTTAAAATGGAGTGATTACAATCATATATTCCAAATTAGGGAGAAGAATTATTATCATATTGGTAACCTACATGATTAAAAATCTCAAAACCTCATTTGAGCATCACAAATTTTGATATCAAAATCCATTAATCAGCCATACCTTATCGTCATTAGTTTGATTATGATCACCACTTTTTTTGTTCAACTCTTTATATAAAATTTTCTAGTCCGAATCACCTCTAATGTATAGTTTGCTAGCTATTAAACAATAACATTATTTACTCAGTGCACGCCACTCTGTTAAGTAGTGACTACGAATTTTCTTCGTCATCTAAAAAAATCGTATATTACTGGAATGTTATATTGTGTACACATAATATTCACTTTTTTAACTAAAAGGCATCGACGAAGTAGGAACAACTTGAATTGCTTGAGTATAAGGTTAGGAGTTACTATTTGCCAATGAATTATTTTGACAAATTAAGTTCAAACTATGCAATAAAAAAAAAAAAAAAGTAGATAATATTATAATCTAAACATCAAACAAAATGTCAAATTATAATTGAAACTAAATTTGAGTATACTAAAAGAACAAAATCTTTAAACTAGGCATACCAATATGATCCTCTCATCCTCTAAATGATTTGATTGAGATTGTAATGGAGAAGTGGAGGGGGGGAATTAGGCATGAAAATCTAAAGAGGCACTTGCATACCAATGGAAAAAATGATTTTATTTTCATAGTGAGAGGTAATGAGGAGTGGGTAGGCAAGCAGGCATGATGGATAGTTTTCAATTTAGTATTAAATTATTATTCCAAAGACTTGTTTATATGTGTGATTTAAAAAAAAAAAAAAAAAAGAAATACAACTAAAAAAATAGGCTAAGAAAAAATTTAACAGATTTTTAAAAGTTATTATGTGAATTACCTTTATATTGTGATTAAAATTTTGTTCATTTGAATTGATAAAGAAATTCAAATCTAAACACATATATATAGTAGGTTTAGTTTATGTATAATTGGAGTCCAAATAAAGACAAATTACAAGTTGATCCTATTAATCATAAATTTACTAGTGTATCAAGATCTACATGGTTTAAGCCGATTAGGAGCATGTGACATAATTTTATAGTGATCAAGAAGATTCCAATAATATGAGGGATTATCAGACTTTTATACTGATGGACAATAGGAGCATGTGACAGAATTTAAGTCGAGTAATGAAGCAGGGGTGAGTGGCGCCTATTTATAGGTCGATCACGCCACATATATTTAATAAGTTGATCAAAATTAACGGAACAACTAACATAATGTTTCACAAGTCATCAATCCTTCCAGTAAGATTTGAAAGATCAAGAAATGCATTATTGTGATAAGATATCGTCATGAATCATTGTGTACGCTCCATATATTCTCATAAATACACAATATAATAAAAATAATATTATTATTTTTCATTCTAATTAATTTGTCTCTTAACATAACAATAAAAGTCATTTTATTAATGGTTTACAATGGATATTGGATGAGATGACCCACCTAGCCTTACCGAAAGGAAACGGAAAGAAAATGTAATATCATTTTACAAATATAAATAGAATTAATCATACTTTTATATAAGTAAAATTGGGATTTAAAAATATTAAATTACTCTTGTTTTGGTTGATGGGTTTTTGGGACGTCGGGGTTGACATAAGACATAGTCAAAGGGGATTGAGTGACTCGCTACCTTCCAACATCCCACACGCGCTCTGCGTTTATTCCTTTTTCTCTCTCATCGTTTGTCGTGAAGCCCAGTTTTTTACGGGCGGGTGGGCCATTAAGCACTAACTGACAGACAAACAAATCGAAATAGAAATGTGACGTGGGCCAATAATATCCTTGCTGGCTCCAATCCAATCCATTTATTTCGGTTCGGAGATGTAAGATTCCGTGTTGCCACGACCACGACTATCGCGCTATTTCGATTCGAATTGGTGCATATATTATACAGCATATAAATAGTTTAATGTAATTTATATTTCAAAATTATTTGTTCTAAAAATATTATAACTAAAATTTCTATATTATCTTTTGCATTCCTATTTATTTCTGTTTGTTTTGTCAACCGACCTTGTATTTAATTTAATAAGATGACGCAATGGAATTTAATTAAGTGAATTCAAAATGCATACAAATGTACAATGCACATTTGGGCAGACCGTATTACACTATTACATATCCAATTTAAATGACAAGAGCAAAATGGTGGTTGATGAATGAAGAAAACAAAATTATTAAAACTTGATGACTCTTTGTTAACATTATACTTAATTTCACCACACATAAAATGTAAAACTAAAGACCATGTGCGATAGGCACAATTGAAAATGTATTAACAATAATCGAGCTCGTAACATTTTAGTACGAGAATCATACATTATCTATTCAATCACTATTCTTTCAGATACAACTAGTTCATTTTTTAGGAGAATTATATGTAACTGAGGTTTGATTGAAATTCGACTAAATTAGTTTTACCTCGCAAAATACGAATACTAATATAGTATGCCCAAAAAAGAACTTGCAGTTGTTTATGGGCTTTTAATATAAATAAATTTTAGAAAATTTTGTACCTTTTTCAATATGGAAAACAACACAAATTTCATTTTTCATTTTTTTAAATGAACATACCTTAAAATGTTTTTTTTTTTTTTGGCACTAAAATTACCATATAATAATATTCAGTCTGGCCTGACATTATATATATTTTTTAATTTTTTTTCCCATTATTACTAGCTTGTGAATTGATTAATTACATGATGAGTTAATAAAGTCAAATGTAATAATAAAAAATTAAAAATTTTAATGTGTGTAATAATGACACACCATTCACTTACAGGGCGTTTGGTTGGAAGGAAGGAATTAAGGGGGAAAGGAATTGTAATTCGGTAGAAAAAGAATAAGGTGGGAATAAAGTAGGAATTACAATTACATTGTTTGGTAAGGAGGAATAATGAAAATGAGAGAAGTGATATAAAGACTAAAATACCCTTTGTGTAATAATTTTAATAATAACATTCAAGGACAAATATGTCTTTTCCTTGCCTTTCCCTTTGGATGAATTCATTGAACTGCAATTCATAGGGGGGACCTATGAATTGCAATTCAATGAATTGAGGGAATTGCAATTCCCTCCAACCAAACAATGTAGTTTATCATCTCATCGAATTGCAATTCAATTCCAACACCAATTCATGCCAACCAAACACCGCCTTAGTTAGTAGGTCTCCCTTTGTATGCACCATTGAAATAAACTCCACGTGGCAAACGTCTCTCAATGAACGAAGTATGTCTCGAGGGTGACACATCGATGTTACCATGAGTTCATTCTTGCGATAATAACTCTTTTCCTTCACAACACCTACAAAATAGATAAACTTAAAAAGTATTAATTTAATACAAACTAGTAGATGACTGTTACATTTTTTATTTTATTTTTTTAAATAAAATTTTCACATAAGCACCATGACACTACATTCCAATCTAGTTAATGTCACATAAAATAATAACCTACTAAAAATACCATATTATAACCTAATTGCACTATTTAACTGACTTATGGATCTTATTAGAATTGTTTCATTAGAGTATCCAATTACAGTATTCATTAGACTTAAACGTGAATAGACACTTTTTCATTATTTAAATAATCACAAAATGCATATAAGTAATCAAGAGAAAGTGGAAAATGGGATCAGGCCGTCGGGGTTATACCTTCCGTGCTCAAAACTCTGAACCAAACATTACTTAAAGAGAGATGATCATAAACATATACCTTCAGTAAAAATTCCTGTAGGAAAAAAAAAATTTAAAATTTACTTCAAGTAAAATATACAAATACAAATAATACTCCGTACGTAGTCAATTGTTATACCATGAATCAGAGTTTATATTGCATTTTGAATTTTGGTACACAAATTCTATACTTTCAATTAACTCATTTTGTATCTACAGGTAGCGGTTTCTCTGTATATGTAAACAAATAACTTGATAATTGCTGGCACATAATATGATAGCTACATGTATAAAAACTATCAACTGCAAGTATATAATGAGTAAACTATAGATACAAAATATGACTTAATAATTATTGACACATAATATAATAGCTATATGTATAGAAACTATGTCAACTATAGATATAAAATTTAAAGATTATTTTTAGACTAGGGTCTACAATGCAAAGTAAACGGACACTCATCTATGGTATAATTTGCCTAGAATCAGTTAGTGATTTCATGGACTCACCCAGTTTTCAACTTTTTGCTCATTATTTGAACCCGTTTTCTGCAGACCAAAACAGCATAAAATAAAATATGGTTTTACAAAGTATGATAAAAAACCATCAAAGACTCAAAGTATGTAAAGAATGCTTGGAGAATGGAGATCTGACCTCTTCTGCCCAATAGCTGCAATGATTGCAAGAATTGTTCATTACAAAAACCAAAATTTAAAAAAAAAAAAAAAAAAAAAAAAGTGTGTTAGTAGACTTTCCTATCTGGTTGGAGTGTGGAAACTCAGGATGAGGATATTATTGTCTTTTGTAGACAATATTAATAATGTAAGAAATATACCCGGTTTTGTGGAGTCTTTGAGAAATAACCTCAGCCAAAGTCTTGGCAGCCAGGGGATTTCCCAAACTGCCCCTCTTAATCACTTCTTCCAGCTCAGTTATACGTATATCCCTATGCAACTCTATTCCCCCTATGTCTCCAAACTTCTTCCTTTTCAGTGTTTCTTCAAATACCAACCAGCAATGTTCTTGGATTTGCTTTTCCTTCCCTTCCCTTTTTGCCCCTGCATCATCTTTTTCTTCCCCGCCGCCTTCTTCCTTCTTTGCCCTTTCTCTCAGCGAAGGCCAAAAGCTGCATTTATGCATTCTTGGTTAGAAGTTTAGGATTTTGTTATGCTTTCACTATTTGTGTGTGTATATATACATGTTATTTGATTATTTCATGTTTATCAATATTTGATTTACCAGAAAATTTCTAACCACTATTTAAATATGTACTTTGTATGAAATTGACATTATAAATTAATTTAAGTTACTTATAACTCAAATTAAAAATGATAATTGAAACAAACACACACACAAAAAATGAGATGGGAGTAATTTTTAAATTTAACTTTTTGTATTTTTTTACAAACAAATTTTTATATTTAATGATACTTTTAATATAATTTCTAAGTATATATATTAGTTTGTGCTTACTTATCTGAGTAGAAAATGTTGCTTTCGCCCACAAGATCCTTCGCCACGTCGTTCAACCGGGTGGTGATTATTATCGTGCCACGTAACTGTTGCGTCACCACGTCCACGAAGGTTTTGGCCCCCTCGGATGTCCACAGGCCGTCCAGCACGACCAAGCATCTCCGATCACGGATGATGCCGTGCAACGAGCGCAGCGCCTCCTCGAGATTGTAGCGGCACGGGGTGGCAGTGTGCCGGAACTTCTCGACGGTTATGCACGACAGTTTCGTTTGGGAGTCGGATACCTCGGAGCAATCGACCCACAAGACGACGTTGTCAAATTGTTTCTGAACCCCTTCGTCGAGGAAAATCATTCTGGCCAGAGTGCTCTTCCCCGACCCGCCGATCCCCACGAACGCCATCGCCACGTTATGCTGGTTTTTCGGGAGGATGTCGTCCTTGAAGAACTCGAACGGGGAGTCGAAGCAGAAAACCTCGGACTTGTCGAAGTACGGAAAGCCTTCTCGTTTGATGACGGAAATCGAGGATGTTTCCGCTGGTGGTTTTTCGATGGACGGCAGCTGTATTCCGGCGAGGCGTTCTTTCAATTTCTCTAAGTCTGATCGGGTGTTACGTTCGTTACAGCATTTGTTTTTTGTTGCCTCGCAGTCTCTCCGGATGCCGCGCCAGGAACGGCGACTCTTTCCGCCAGCGCCGCCGGGGGTCTCCTCGAACGTGCTGCAATCCTCTAACGAGTTGGTTAGGTCGTAGAGAAGATCGATGGCTTCATGGATTCTGTCATGTTTGAATGACTTCTGGCCAAGATCATCTGAAATCTCCTTGAGCAAAGCTGGGCATCGAACTAATTTCGAGGCTTCAAACTCATTGATGTACTTGTTCTTGAGGAAGTGTAGAAGATGGGCTGCCATTAATATATGCTCTGTCTCTCTCTCTCTCAATACAGAGTCTTGATCTCTTCTCTGCTCTCCTTTATAGGATGAAGATGGGAAGGGAATGAATGGATTCCAGTATTCGTGCCTCTGTAAGCAAGGAAATTAAAGTAAAGTGCATGCAACGTTTAGTATGTAGGAACATTCATTTCCTCGTATGGAAGCAACAGTGGATGCTTTCTTGATTCTTGTCAGATTCTTTAGTACGTTTTTGTTATATGCTTGCAAACACGTTTCACGGTTGTAATAATGTATATATTGTCGAATACGTAGAATGGGTTTTAATTCCTCGTGGGGTCGAATGCATGCTGTAGCATTGTTCGATCATATGCTCTCTCTCTATCTCCCGAGTAGTGGCAAAGAATCTACCAATCTTCCACTTTCATTGGATAAAAAGTGGGGAAGTAAAGAATACTGCTTATTTCTTAGCTTGTCATCTTTTCTTTTTTTTTTTAATATATGAAGGAGGTGCGGGGAATCGAACCCCGTGCCTCTCGCATGCGAAGCGAGCGCTCTACCATATGAGCTATACCTCCAAATATTTTTAAGTTCATCTTGATTACTACGAAAGGGCTAAAAAGCTTGAAGGTCACGATTGCTTTAATAATTAATCTACGCATTGGATGCAAATTATATTGTGGACCAGGTCCACCATGCACATTGAGAATCATAATCCAAATTATGTATATATTATTGAAAGTAAGTAATATATAACTGCATTTATATACTCCGTAATATATGTGAACAAGGGTGTGGACTCTGGTTCACCATATATTGATTGCATATGGGATTTTCCGATTGACATAATTCATTCTTTCCAAAAGGTTGAACCCCAACTCTAAGGGCCTCCACATCCCGGCCCGACAGAGCATCTGGGAGGATGTAAATCATAGTAACTCAAGGCAAATTATGCTGTGCATCCGTATGCACCATGCATGGTGCATAAGGATGCAAAAACGACGTCGTTTTAATAAAACGCGCGTCTCCTCTTAAAAAAAAAAAAATCAAGTTCGATTCCCAGCAACAACATATGAACTAAAATTCCAGAATCGATGAACTATAATTTCATAATCGATGAACTATAATTCCATAATCGATGAACTATAATTCCAAAATCTAATCTATGAACTAAAAATTCCAGAATGAATGAACTAAAATTTCATAATCGATGAATTACAATTCCAGAATCGATGAACTATAATTCCATAATCTATGAACTAAAATTCCAGAATGAATGAACAATATAATGTTGTTGCTGGGAATCGAACCTGAATTTTTTTTTAAAGGGGAGACGCGCGTTTTTTAATAAAACGACGTCGTTTTGGCATCCGTATGCATGGTGCATACGGATGCACAGCATAACTATTGGTAACTCAATTGAACATGAACCACAGAGATTAAATCTTTGCTTACTGCGCATTGATCATTCTTTTCAATTTTCACTTCTATGACTAGTTGAGCTGCCCATGCAGGCCTAGATAGTGATGTCAAGTGAATCCAAAGTTGATATATAGGCGAAATCACGTAAGCACAATATAATAGCGGGTCATGTTAATCTAACTCAATCCACATTTTAGACTATTAAGCTGGTCCATCCCAAATTATATATAAATGAGTAATCTAGGCCAACACAAGTGCACAACCTCATATATAGGTCAATTACAACTCGACCCATGTAAGCCTAGGCTACATTGCCATCCTTATTTTAGTCCAAATGCACCTATCATTGTAACTGTTGAAATGGCCTAGGCCCGTCCTATTGGGCCTTCTTCCCATATTGAAGTTAATTACTCCTAGCCTCTATTGTATTGTTGTATTATACGTTGTGAATCTAACCTAACTTGACATGAATTGAGATAAACACGATAGATACATACATGCACAAACATATAAGTAACTAAACGTGTATAGATTAAGATTTACCTAATCCTTGTTCACATACAATTTCCAACTTCTACCACCTAGACGTAGTTTAACTAGTCAATGCTAACAATCGTAAGGTGCAAGCTAGTCAATGCTCGCATTATTATAGATACTAATATATAAACATTTTGACGGCTTGTAGGCCTAACACGTTTCTAGGCTAGTTTTTGCATGTCACACAAAATTTAGACAAATTATATATTGTGTCTTGAGCTTCACCTATATAATAAACTTATATATGTATATATTAAAAATGAACTCGTATCCTTATTTGTTTTCTAATGTGAACCTTGATCCGCCGTATAAGTATTACAAGATGTATTCTTGGGCCGAATAATCTTTGGTCATTTTCGAACTACACGTGCAGGAATGCTATAGATTAAAGAGAGAAGTGCAAAAGTGCAGTACAGATCCCCATAATGCCGTTGCATATAATGCTAAATAGTGAAGAATATATGCCATAATCACATGCCCCTGCATTAAACAAACCTTAAAACAACTCAAATTGCCTGAATTTTCATGTGGCCAAAAAAAGAAACATTGCGATCACCTTTTTGTTCGATCAGTCAATAGGACACAACCTTTGTGATAACAATTTGTCTTGTTATATCTTGTACTTACATTAATCATTCCAAGTGGAGGAATATAAGAATCTGGGAGAGTGATAATGGAAATTAAAGCTGCTTACAACCATAAAAAGGACTTGCCAGTTGCCATCAAGAATTCAATCCTCAGCCCAGACAATATGATTTTAGCAACCAATTCAACAAAACCAACAAATCTTAGCCCTCTATCAAAAAACATTATAAGCTGATGACTAGGATTTCCCAGTATGGGAAGACAAGAGAGCACCCATAACTAAAGCTGATCTCAAAAATTTTGTTTATTTGGATCTCTGCACAACATACAGTACTTGATTCTGAATACACAAATAGAATATGATGATCAACAGCTGTACACATGGTGAGTTTCTTGGCTACTATTAAAAACTTAAGACCAAGGATCGATCGGAAATTTTACTATCTGCTAATACACTTATCATTTTTTTTTTCTCGGGCCCGGATTTAACAGATGACACATGCATTGGGATTCTCTTCAATGCTGTGGTGGTGAGCATAATTGTAGTATGAGTTCACTGGAGGATAATAGTATTGCCTGTATGGCATGATTACAACTGGCTCCTTCTTCTCATCATCTTTCTTTCCTTCTTTCTTTGCTTCCTCTTTCTTTCCTTCCTCCTTAGGTTGTTCTTCTTTCTTAGGCTCTTCCTTCTTTGGCTCCTCTTTCTTCTCTGGCTCTTTTGCTGGCCCTACAGAGATGATGCCAGTTGTCCAATACTTGCGAAGTTTGCTTACTACAGTCACTGGATCAACGTTTCCAATCACTGTTACTTGCTTACTGTTCATGTCCATGGCAATTTCATCTATTCCTGCAAGTTATGGGCACAATAGCTATGGGTTAATTTGAAATCAAACAAGACCTGAATTGACTCGGGATTAGCAAGGTCTTGGCCCGAGAAAGTTTTAGGTGTCAATCAGTATCGTACCATTGGTACCAATTTAGATCAGGTATGATTTGAGAATGAAAAACATGTCTGATTGTCTCGGATATTGAGTAGTATATCTAATGCAAATCGACATGGTGTGAATCATCATATTAAAATTCTCCATGAGCTCTAGATAAGAAGAAGACTATCTGTCCTGATTAGCTGGAGGCAACCATAGAGACTAGTGTGTTTGAGGAAGAAATCAAGAAAATGACATAATCCCCACAGTTTAGTTTCACCAAACAAGTTTAGTTACAACTTCTCATCAGATGTCATATGTTAGACTTTGCAAATGAGCACAGAACATCCTAATAAGGCTACAACCACTACGGTCCCATCTGATGTGGCACTATGTCACCCAGACAATTTTGCTTTTTGTTATACCATTTCTGGGCAAACATCCACCATTAATAGCTGAAAAAAGTGATAACAACTGCCATGAAAACCAGATTTCCTGTTTAAATTTTACCCTAACACAACAATTTCCTTAATATTATGAATCTGAATCAACCACCATTACTTTTTCACCTACCAAGCAGTACAGATGCAGAGAGGTTCTGTATCAAATTAAAATATGATATTCAAAGAGAATTCTGCAAAACCATGGAGTGTTGAAGATTTCAAGATGAAAGTTATAATTTTGTTTTTTTTTTTTTTTGGAAGAAAACAAAAAAAAAAAAAAAAGATGTTAAAAAGCACCGAAACAGAGTAGAATAGGATACCTGGAAGAGCAGATATGGTCTTCAGTGCCTTGCGTTTGTCGTTGGAGTCTGATAGCTCCAATCTCAGAACAAACTTCTGCAATAATGCAATGTTAAACATGGTTCTAGATGGGATATCACCGACACCCAACAAGAATTCCTCAAAAGATTTGCAGAAATTAAGGAACAATGCAGGAACATAGTAAGAGCAACACAAACAAACAAACAAACAAACAAAAAAAATCCCAGAAATCTGGGGGTTTCCACCTTCTTGGGTGCCCAGCAGCTGACCAAACTAAAGAATCTAAACTAAACTGAATGTAAAGCAGGAAAATCAGATGATTTCTGAAAAGGTGAAATAAATAGGGAAAATGGAATCCAGTAAGGAATCAGAATCGTAGAATAGAACATACACACAGACACAAAAAGTACATATGAAGCAGGAAGGAATCAGAACCATAGGATATACCTTCATTATGTGTGGGTTGTTGGGATTAGCTCTGGAAATAGCAGACTTGAAAATGGAATCAGGAAGGAGAAAACACAGAAATATTTGGAATATATATATACACAGAGAGAAAGAGAGAGAGAGAGAGAGAAGGAGGTGGGTGGGAGGGAGAGAGCAGGTTTCAAAGGTGGCTGCAGCCTTTGAATCACAAGAGGGAGGAATATGAAGCAACACCAATAAAAGCAGTACGGAATACTACGTAGCCTTTCTTTGCCACCCCAGAAACCACGCGCACCGTCTGAACGTTAGTCGCCCAACCCCATGGCCATCCTGTCGTTGAGTAAAATTTCCAAAATAACCCTTAAATCATTGAACTAAGTACTGCATGGCTTCTAAAATTCTTGTGTAGTGATGTCCACCATGGGGCCAACTCCATACTATCCAGCAACCACGTCCTCATGTTATTATGTAAAAGGCTGGTCGATTATGTAACCAATGACTAATAATTGGATTTTTGTGCTTCTCCTAAAAGGTGGCTCGGCAAACACGGATAGACATAATTCCATCACTATAGTTGCGGAGGTTCGAATCTTGATCTCTTATTCCAAATACTGCCTACTGAACGAGCTAAGTTCGTGCGGACATAATTGCATTTTAATACATAGTTCACTAACGGGGAGTTTGGTTGAGAGTAAAGAATTAGGGTGGAAAGGAATTGCAATTCGGTGGGAATAAAGTAGGAATTCAAATTATGGTAGAGATGAATAGAATTATTGGGTAGGGAATGAAGGAAGTGATATAAAGACTAAAATATCATTGTGTAATAATAATAGTAGTAATAATTAAGGGTACTTTTGTCATTTCATCCTTTTTCCTTTTCCCACAACCACCGAATTGCAATTCATAGGGGAGTGCCCATGAATTGCAATTCAGCAAAAGGAGGGAATTGTAATTCTGTGGAATTGCACTTCCCTCCAACCAAACGGCGTAATTGTGGCTTCCACTGAATTGCAATTCAACTATAGCCAAATTACGCCCAACCAAATAGGCCATAAGTGTCCAGGATATTGTGGTCCAATGGCACCAAGTTGAAGTCTCACATGGGATCGAGGTTATGGGTTCAATGGAGGCGCTATTAGCTCAGTGAATAGATAATGCATTGTAATAGCTTTTAATTTTAAGGAAAAATAATACAAGTTAGTTTAATTTTTTGTTCATCATGCCTTTAAACACCCTAAACACAGTGACACATACCATGCATTAAACATATTACACAATTATCGTATTTGAAATCCCTATAGTGAATTGCCAAGTGGATGACGTATAATTGTTGTATTTGTGTTCATTATTGCAAACACCCTCACATGAAGAAACTTTTTAAAATTTAATTGTGTTAGTACCATCTTTTGTTATAATACTATGATCTTAAATGAGTTTTGAACATCCTGGAGTATTTGGGTTGGGATGACCTGGGTTGCTGTCGAGGCTGAGATGGTGAGATGGATATAACCGACCATATTGCGTATTGCGGTGAATCAAGTGCAAAGGGGCCATACATGACATCATAACGCATACTGTTTAATTTACGTGGTTTCAATGTGCACTTGTGTTATCTGAATGTTATGAAATCTCATTTTAAGTTGAAGACGGAAGTTTTTTTTTTTTTTTTTTTTTAACAAAAAAGTTGAAGACGGAAGTGCTCAATCACATCTGATCTCTTTTGAGCTATTCCAAAGATTACGTTATTCAATCGCTCAACAAGATTGATAAAATTTAATGAGTCGCAACATTCATTTGACGGAGACATTAATACTTTAATTTGATTTACATTCCAATTTGAAACTGCTATTTTAAGGTGCATTATAAGTGAAACGCCTTATAACTCTAACCAACAAATGATGACATAGTGACTCGTCTATATTGTTCATAGATGACAAGCTGCATGTGAAGGGTACCTTGTAACCTAATCGATATATATATATATATATTTTTTTTTTTTTTGAATCATAAAGCAACAATTTCATTAGCTTGCTTAGAGCTCTGTACAAGGAAAGAATCATAATGAAAAACCATTTCATCCAGTCTGACCTAAAAATGGTGTTCATAGCAAGGACATGAGCAGCCATATCCACACATTGTTTAGCATACAAAAAGCAACCATTTGTGATTTTTTTGGGACATATGAACCAATCTAAGTTGCTCATAGTTAACTACCTCAAATTGAAAAGGATAATAATAGGCAATTCCTATATGCAGTCAACCTGAAACCATGTAGTTACTAAATCAAGTGGCCGGACAAACTTGACTGGAGTTACATCCTAAAGACATTTATACTTGAGTTGCAGCTCTATATTAAGGTTTGAAGACGATATTTCGACCCCTAACACTCAAGAGGATAATCTTATTTATACTAGTGATGTGAGCAGGAACACTATGATGACAAATTACAAACAACATGGTGTCCTTCGATTGAACGATCAGGTTGATTTTGTCATACATAAATATTGAAGCGTCATTCTAAACTTAACTCAATGATTCAATGGTAAATCATATTGGAAGTATTGCTCCAACAACTTTGTTTGTATGTATTATACATACAAAAGTTCTACTTCTTTTTAAATTTTTTTGAATACATTTATTATTTGTTATTGCTTCTGATCCGGGCGGCCGGACCCCTACGACTAAAGTACATCATCAGCCGCCCAAATGCCTCACATCGATTAGTCAATTCCCAGTACACTTGCATGGATTCTGTTTAATAGAAAACGAAACGCAATTTAATGGTTGTGTGGACTTTAATTCATACTTTTCCCCTCCATCCATCTTTTATCATCTATTTGTTTTCTATTTTCTATATTTTTTTTGGTGACGAATAAAATTGTAATTACTATCTATGAGTGTATACTAATAGCATGCAATCACATAAACCTACAAAAGAATAACGGTTAGTTTGAGTCACGTGATACTTAAACTCCAAACTCCAATAAAAGATATACAATTCAAACCTTCTTTACAATGTATTGTATATATAATAGTGCAAATACACTTTCCTTTACAATGCGAGAGAAAAGCTGTTACAAGTCTTTTACACTATTTTTTTTTTATAATTCAAATGTATATACTATGATATTCAGTTTTTCATTCACCTATTATCTTTTTGAGCATACAATATATTGACCTGATTGAAAAATCTGAATCCATTTTGACCTGATTGCGCAGTTGACCCAAATCGGTAGTGGACCCACTGATATTTATACCACAAAATAGTTATGATATTTGGACCTTAATTAAGTAATAATCAAGTTTTAATATAACATATTAAAATCATAAAATTAGAATTATCTACCATTGTGTGTGTATAACACACACACACACACATTCCAATATGTCTTAATGTTTATAATTAAAATAGTACTCCGTATCAAAAAATTCATTGCCACTTTTAGTTACTTTTTAAAAATTGCTTATATAAAAATAGAGGTAATACCCGATTTGGTTATGAGCTATTAAAATTTTACCACTTTGATCATTGACTTTTAAATTTGTTTAATTTTATCTTCAATTATGTAATTGTTAACCAAAATAGTCATAATCGAGACTATTTTGATTTAAAAGTGTATAGTTGAGGATGAAATTAAGCAAGTTTGAAAGTCGATGACCAAAGTGGTGAAATCATAATAGTCGAGGCTCGAGTGACCAAATCAGATATTAACTCTATCAAAATAGGTGCATGACTATGTAAATTGTATCACGTTTTATCATACCGTCTAATTTTTAAACCAAGTTTTTGGCTAACTATTGTCGAAATTTCAATGAAAAAAAATATGTTTTAATTAAAAGAGTACTTTTGGTCAACTATTATCGAAAAAAACTATTTTTCTCATTAAAATTATGACAGTTGGCTGATAGAACAACATATAATACAAAGTATAAAATTATACGCTTAATTTAAAAATATTAATAATTAATAACTAAATAAGATATAAATTACATAACCATATACGTAATTTGAAAATATTAATACTTGAAAAGAACCAAATTTCTTACATATACAACCCTCAAAGTGAATTTTTTTCTTCTTAAAATCTTAAAAACAAAAAAGAATTGGCGGCAAAATATTTGTATTTTTTATGAACCTAGAACACGAAGTCATAGTTGAAAAAAGTGGAGGGAATTCGAACCCCGGGCAAAGCGAGCGCAGTGCAATGTCGACGATGAGACGCCGCCACCGAATCGTCTGTTCATCCGACGAAGAAGACGAAGAGGAAGTGGCTCCACAGCCTCGACAACCACCGCGAGTCGTGGAGGAAGACGATTCCACAACCGCCAATCTCAATTTCGAAACTGTAACCCTCAATTCCCCCGCCCCTCCCACTCCCCCTCCCTCATCCGAAGTCGCCGATTGCGCCGTTGGCCGCGTCTTGCAAGAGATGGGGCTCCGATTGCGAGTGGAATGGCTGCAGTCCTGCCTCGCCCAATTAGAGGGCTCCATCCGGGGATTTCGGGCCTTCGACGACGCAACCAAGGCTAAGCTGTGCTTCCAGCAATTCCTCTACTCGGATATGAATTTATCAGGTGCCGGGGAGCTCCCTCTAAACGTCCACACCTTGCATTCCGTTGATCTCAAAGGCCCCTTTGTGCTTCAGGTGGGTAGACGGTAGTATTTGCACTCTAATTCCCGCATGAATTTTGTGTTTAATGGTAATTTTTGGCAGAACTCTTACTTGATGCTTATCTTATTTGATTCCTTCACCTGGCAACTCACATGCCAAAGGATAGTTGATAGCTTCATCACTTTTCACTAGTAGAGGCGTACTTAATTTTGAAAATATATAATCTTATCAATAAGTGTCAATGAGGCATATCATTACTTAGTAGATTATAAATTTGCAATATAAGGTTCCTATTAGGGTTTTATTATTGTTATTATTATTTTTATCAATATAAACAATGATGGTGGGATGACAGTACTAATGTGTGTACTCCATTTAACATTTTGTTGCTTCATTTTATTTTTTTCCTATAAGGTGGACGAGATAGTTAATATCAGCTGTCCTCTAAGAGGAAGGTACCAAGAATCATCTGCCGGAATCAAGAGGTGCCTCAAATTGTCAATGACAGATGGCATGCAACGCGTGTTTGGCATGGAATACAGGCCCATAAAGGGGCTTGATGTCATGGCTCCTGCTGGGACTAAGGTTCATATTTGAAACCCTTGTTTGTTCTTTTGGTCATGTTTCCTTTTTGTTTTTATGTGTGTGAATGCTTCTTTTGAGTCGACAAGTTTTTTATGACGTTTTCCTACTTCAGGAAAATTTCATTATTTGGTGTCAGTACTTATCGTACTTCAATTTTCATGGGGAACTTCATAGATGATCTAACGGTTGGAAATCTAGTAGGCTGATGTATAACTTGAAAATATATGCTGCCAATAGGATAAACCAAATGCATCATGCATAAATTATAATGAGTTTTTCAGTTCAAACCTTAAATCTTCTGCTACTTGCAGCTTCTTTTTTGGTATGAGGGGCTAACTTTTATCTCCTTTTATGTAGATGCATACTGGTTTCTTTGCATAATTTATTAATACTGACCACTGCTCTAGTTTGCAGGTTGCCATTTGTAATGTCAATGTAAGGCATGGGCTCTTAATGCTGGTCCCTGAAGTTTTTGAAATTTTGGGTGGTATGGTTGAAGAGTTGGAGGGAGTGCGCCAGAGGCTTGTTAAAGAAGTAAATAAGCCACCAAGGGGAAAAAGGTCTCTACTTGGGGCAGACATATATCATACTTCTCTCATTTGTGTGTAATATCTAGAGTCACGGGTTTCTATGTCATCGATATATTTTAAATGCACAGTTATACTAGGATAATATGCTTCTCTAAAATGGTAATGACAATGGCTGTGAAAATGGCCTTCTCTTTCCCCTTACTCTTGGTAAGTTGGATCCTGTTTTTTTTGTGGTCCTGTTTGCTAGTCCTGGGAGATGCTAATATACTATGGAGCTTACTATCCCATTTTGCTGAACTTTGGTGTTGTTTTTGTTTGTTTGTTTCCCCTTAAACCAGAGAAGATATAACATAGATTGCGTGTACTATATCTCATGTTTGTTCAGTATGAATTTGAAACTTTATTGTCATTGCATAACAAGTCTCATCAAATACTCCATATTATACGAATATTTCCTATAACTGAATTTGGCTGAAAAATGTGATTTTTATTAGTGTATTGATTGGGGGATTATTCATTTCATATAACAGAACAAGAAATGGAGTTGTTCCTCCTTTAGCAACTAGATTAACTCGTGCCGCATGGCCTGTAGAAGGTGCTAGTGCTCCAGAATGCCCTGATGCTCCCAAAGGAAGTGATCGACCTCCCCTGTATCAAGAGAGAGGTATTTTTCTGTGTCTCAGAGAACAATCTACTATTAACAACATGAAGTATCAGACAGGGCTTGCTGCATTTATAATGGGTCTTGCAGTCAAGGGCCAATCTTCGTTTGGCTCGTGGAATCCTTTGCATGCCTCTGTTACCTTATTGGAAGGCCTTCAATTTAAAATACCTCTTTGGTTTTCAAGAATTTCCAAAAGCAAAATTGTTCTCACCTATTGCTATGCAACTATGCTACCTTTTACTATCAATTTTGACATGCTATTCCAGGTAGTTATTTGGGAAGGCATGCATAGAGGCTTATGTCAGAAATTAAAATTTTTAAAATTGTTTTATGATCTCAACCACCAGAAGGCTAGAATCCATGTAAATTGCTGTTGGAACAACATTAACTATGAATCCTGTTCTCAAAATTAGCACGTAACTAACACTTTCACTTCAAGAGACCTCTCGGCTTCTACGATGTAATGAGTACTGATGTGTTCAGAAATTGTAGCACTGCTCCAATTTCATGGGTGCTGGTTTTCTACATTATATGTTATAGAAGTAGATTATATATGCATTTGTTGTGATGGGGCTCTAGGGTAGACATCTAAGATACTGACCTCTTGCTCATACTGTCTTTAAATGGTTTCCTATGAGCAGTGAAGTATATCTTTTATGCCAATTGCTTCATAGGAATTTAAAATGCCTGTAAATGTTGATGGTCAATACTGAATAATATAATTATCCGTATAAATGTGATACTTTATTGTAGTTTTATAATATAGTTGGTTTCTTCAATTGATAGCAGGAACCTTGTCTGGAACCCATGCCAGTAATAGGTTTGGAGATGTTGCAGCTCCCATCAGGAGGGAAGATGCTGAAACTGATCTTTCATTTGTGGAGGCTATGGATATATCAAGTATCCCTGCCAGTAATAGGGTTGCTGCTCTCAGCAGGAGGGTAGATGCTGAAAGTGGCCTTTCACCCATGGAGGCAATGCATGCGTCTAGCACTGCTGCAGTTAGTTGGGGAGATGTTGAAGCTTCTATCAGTAGGGAAGATACTGAAATTGGCCTTTCACCTATCGAGGTTATGGATGTTGAGGAAAGCCATATGGTTGACATAGAAACCATGTCTACGATCCCTTCCAGCAGCACCACTGGAGAAGATATTGCAGTTTCTGTTCACACAGAAGATTCTGCACCTATTTCACTGCCTAATGGAGCTATGGATGCTGAAGACATTGATTCCATTGATGCAGGAATTGTGTCCGACACTCTTGCACAAGGCAGAACTCAAAGTAACATTCCAGTCCATATCACAACTGTAGACTCTGAAGATGAATTACCTACTGAAGCTATAGATGCTGAAGAAGTTTGTATGGCTGATGAGTTGGAGCACCCGTATATCCTTACTGGAGACAAGGAAATACCTTTTACTTACATGGCTTGTTTGTCAGCTAAGTGGGCGGCTGCTAAGGATAAAACTTCCTCTGTAAAAGGAAAAATCAAGGTAATTCTTTTTGTTTTTTGTTTTTTTTTTTTTTGGTTTATTTGTTCTTGTTTTGTTTTTGATTGCTGTTTATCTCTAAAACTTCCATGCTGATATTCTACTCAAGTTTTTAAAACAGAGATAAATTAGCTTTTCATGATAACAGTTTTTTTTTTTTTTTTTTGGTTTTATATTATTTGCATAGCAAGTGATATATGTGTATCAGTTCCATTCTTTGTTGGAATTGATAATAATCTATGCTTATGTGGCTACTTAAACAACTGATTTCTTTGTAACCTTTAAGATTTGCTCTAATTCTGAAAGTGCACAATTTAAAAAGGTTACTTGTTTGCATTATACATGATTCAATACACACAGAAATTTCAATCTCCCCATATTTTCTATTATCCCTTACAAATCTATTAGAATCTGATGTCTGACACTTAATTTGCAGTGCTTTTTTACTGGTGTGAAGGGTTTTCGATATCAACGAAGGAGTACATATGAGCTTAGAGTTTACGTTGATGATGGAAGCCTCATCTCTGAGATACTTATTGATCACAATGTATGTTAAATTACAAAAATATGTTTCATCTGATGCTATCACAATCTAATCTCGTTTGTACTCAGGTTGTGCAAAAAGGAACTGGTTACTCTCCTATGGAAGTAACTAATGCTCTTGCTTCTTCAGATATAAAGCAACAAAACGACATGAAAGAAACTATGAAACAATTCCAGAGATTCCTTGAGAATTTTGAGGTATTGTACCTTCCATATCCGTGCTCTTAACTATTTCACCAAATAGCTATTGCACTATCCACCTTTAAAGTCTGCAGAGGAAAGCGATCACTGGTTCTAGAGTGACGCTTTGTAGTATGTGCTATTATGAGATGTGACGAGATATGATGAGGTTATTACTTATTAGACAAACACCACCGATATGTATGGTGATAGAACTCTGCGTCTCTGCCCCTTCCTAAAAGGAGAATTGTCACTATAGTTGTAGGACCAGTATAATTAATTCTACAATAACACTTTATCTGTTTAACTTGACTTCTTGCCTCTGTTCCATTATTGGTCTTGGAATTTCTGGTTGCTGTTGGATTTAATGTTGACGAAGGACAAGTTATAAAGTAGTAAACTTTATTGTGTTCATGAATAATGCATGGTGTTATGTTTGTTTCAGGGAACAATGATTGTAGAGATGAATAAAGAATCTCCATTCCCAGTTGCCACTGAAATGAACCAGGGGTGTCCTGCTTCCGATGCTTGGCTGCTTCTTAGGCGACTGCAATCCTTTACTTCGGTGCAATTACAGCCTCATCGCGGCTCAGATACTATTCATCTATCCCCTTAATGTACTTATGCATACTTAAATTCAGTTAATTGTGTGATCAAGCATTTGAGAGCTAAATTGCAACATTTCTTTCCTTAGCAATTAATTTTTAATTTTATCCTATATTTAGAGCTAAAAAGAATGGAATGAAAGTTATAGGATCAAATGTATTTATAATCAAAAGATTTCATTACGGTTTCATTCATTTTCAAATGATAAGCCTATTCATTTGATATCTTTACATTATTTATTAATGTACTACCAATAAGGATGTTTTTATCAATAAAGATTTTTTTTTTTTGATCAAGAGGAGGGGGCAATCCCAGTTAAGCTACACTGTGGATGTTTCGACCTAGGGGAACCCCAAGATCATCATCCATAAGCATCTCAATGGCTTCTCTCATCGGATGTGCCCAAACTGGCTTCCCTCATATCACGGCCATACAGCTCGCCTTCTCAAATGCCTACTTCGTATCAATCACTTGATTCCTAATCCAATCCGTCTTGTTGTTAATTCTGTCTCCATCCTCATTTAATATTCTTTCATTCCTCCACTTCCAGATCCACCAAGCTATGGTAGCTAACAACAACTGGCCATCTTCCATCGATCTGCAAGCACCTTTCCCTTCGATCACGTTATCCAGCCAACCTGCAAAGGACGATCTCCATCCGCGATCCATAAAATTTGCTGGCAGCAATTTTCGCCAAACTTCCAATGCTTTTGGGCACCATCTGATCAATGGTCAATGCCTTCCACCTTGTCACGGCACCAACAGCACCCGTCATGGTCGATGGAGCCTCTCCTATGTCTTTCTTGGTTTGTCATAAGTCTATTATGCTTCAACAACCAAAGAAATGAACTGATTCTGTTCGGATAAATTATCCCAACCACTTCTCCTTCCAGAACTTAGTAGTTTTGCCATTAGCCACCTGCTTTCGTGCTCCAATTTTATGTTTTATTATTTACATTAGATGTATATTTACTATATTTTATTTTTTACTCCATTGGTTGTGTCATGCTCTAATTGATTTGAAAGAAAAAAATGTTTTTATTCATTCAATTACCTTCAGTTGTTTTAGTATGCTTCAAAGACCTTGTGTAACGAGATAAATGTTTTATTTGTTAGGTGTGAACAACGCACGCTATAAATTCAAAGATCTTGTGTAACAAGATGAATGGAAAGGATGTTAGATTTTGGTAAGAATCTAATTCGTGATTCTAACTCACTTGATCACTCTTTTTTAGGTAAATGTTTTATGGGAAAATGACACTTTTTCCCCCTAAGTTATATACTTATAGCACTTTTTCCCCCTCAATTATTTAAGTGGTTCTTTTTCCTCCTGAAATGTTAAATGGACATATTTACCCTTAAAATAAATATTTCATTTATTTTTATTCTCCAACAAATTATTACTATAATTTGGTTCAAACCAAACAGATACTATAGCAACTAAACCAAAATATTTCAATTACAATTTATAATCGAAACGCGATATTTAGAGTTTATTAAAATCGCGAACCGGAATGACCGGTTCATGTTCCAAACTGAAAAAATAAAATACATTTATTGTTGAATTTAGACTATTTTAAAATAAAAAATAAAATTTTAAAATAAAGACGGTTCAAAATCGCGAACTGGATCCGGAACCGCCGGTTCACGGTTCATGATCCAGTTTTTTTTTTTTTTTTTTATTCTTAAATTTAATAAATTGAAATCCAAATATTGGGTTCTAGATCTGAATCATAACTGAAAACTTTTAATTCGATTGCTATAATGTCTAGTTCAGTTCAAACCGAACCGTGGTAATCGCTACATATACGCAATAATTTGTTGGAGAAGTAAAATAAATAAAATGTTTACTTTAAGGGTAGAAATGTCAATTTAATATATTTGGGGGAAAAACCACCACTTTTAAAATAATTGAGGGGGCTAATGTGCTTACATAAATAATTGAGGGAGAAAAAAATACTATAAGTATATAACTTAGGGGGAAAAAGTGCCATTTTCCCATGTTTTATTCTTGTATGAAAAAATAAATATATAATTTAGCATGGTTGAAAGACAATAATTAAAATTACTAAAATTGAGAGATTAAAAATTTATTTTTTTCCAATTCAGAAAATTTTCCCTTATATATCCTTCGTCTAATGACATCTCTATATATATTAAAGCAAAACAATAGGAGCAAAAAATTCCCGCCCAAACAATACTACGTCGTTTTGAGGAGTATCAAATATTTATATCATTTTGCTTAAAAGAACGTGTAAACTCATCGGTTACCAAAAAATATTTAAACTAAATATTTTGTTTCTATTTATTTTACGCCCAAGATTTTTTTATAAGCCAATCAGATTCAATTTAAAAGTTTAAGCCCTGTGTACTCTTCATTTTCCCATATAATATTTATGGTGAAGAGCCGGATTTGTCTTTCCAAAGTAATTAATTGCAGACCAATCGATTTCTGCCCTTTCGTTAACTAACGATAGGGAAGCAATTCTATCTAAATCTCTATATATACATCACTTTCTCTTCAATGCAAAGACTATCAAGTTTCAGTCTTCAATACAAATACTAGGTCATGCAGGCCAGCAGTTATACCAGAAGTCTCGCCGGAAACGGAGCAGCGTCGAATTATACCTGAAGCCTCGCCGAAAAGGGATCAGCCGAATTATACCTGAAGCCTCGCCGAAAAGGGATCAGCGTCGAATTAGAGCCTACCAGCAGGGAAAACGTCCAATATCTACTCCACAGCCGTAGCCAAAGCACATGGAAGTGGAACTATCAGTGGAGGAGAAGCATATACTCAGGAGATGAAGGAGCCAACTCATGAGGAGATAGGAAAGGTATACAATTCATTGTTTGCATATTTACTTTATTTACAGCCAAGATTAGATTAATTTATTTATTTCATTCAATTTTCCTAACAATTTATTTAATTTTTTTTTCTTTTAGGAATGAAGTTATGATTCTTAAATTGCCCCAGGAACCTAACGGTCTACATAGACAAAAAAAAAAGAGAGAAACAATGTGTAAAACATGACTGATGAACATGTGTAAAACTGCTATTTTGACCATTTTTATGAGCTTTTTTTTCCTGCTAATTGTGTGTTTTGATATTTTTCTATTCAGGGAACCTAACAGTGTGCTTAGAAAAGAAATAGTAATGTACATCAATAAAAAGAATACAGGAGAAACATCATGTGCAGAAGTAAAATTTGGTGCAGTTTTCACTGCTTTATTTTTTATAATGAAGTGCTTTTATTCATTTTTCTATTCAGGAACCTAACAGTCTACATAGGAAAAAAAGAAAAAAGAAAAGAGAAACAATATTTGTAAAACACATATTTTTCCAGCTAACAGTGTGCTTATTTAATTCCTTTGGTTGATGTTTCTTGGTTGTGTTTCCCAATAACATTGTTGATCAATTGTGCCCTGTGGCACTTTTAATACGAACTATGAAGGATTAGTTTACATTGTCTATAATTGGATTCTTTTAAATTTTGTTTTGCAGGACCAATCTTGGAGTCATATTCACATGAAGAATATTTGGTCTACATTAGGTTAGCCATATGTGTATGTGAACTATTAACATTTTAAGATGTTTTTTCTTTTGTCAAATCTTTACAGTATGTGTTAAATGCATGTTTTCTATGCTATTTCTATTTCATTTGCAGGTGAAAGGACTAGCAATACAATACCCTATCACAGTAATGAAATGCCATTGCTAACCCAGGATAGTAGCAATCTGGAAAATAGCATTTCAGAGAAACAAACATGTAGAGAATAACATATGACACAAACATGTAGAGAATAATATATAACTATCCCTAATGTATTATTTTTCGATCATTACTGTCTTTGTGTTTCTGTTTCTATTTTGCAGGCTGGTGGTATACAAATATAGCAACCAATCACAAATATCAGGTGATAGTATCATTGCAACAAGAGTGGATCAACCAATTTCAAGCCACATAGGTTATGCATGAAGAGAAAAAAAAAACCAGAAACAAAGAGGTTATGCATGAAGAGAAGAAAAACAGAAACACTGATGGATAGAGAATACTTTAGTCCATGTATAATAAATAGTTACCTTCTTTGCCAAAACCTTCTTGGGCTGTCAAAACATTACCACCAATGTGTATTATATGTCTGTTACACATAGAATACATTACCACCAATGTGTATTCTCTGTCTCTTAGACAAATTTGAACATCCTGAAATGTGCAAAAAAAGTATGGTTACTAAATGAGATGAAAAATTAAATAAAAAGCCCACAAGTATTATTATTACAAAACACTCTTAAGATCACAATTAAAAATACAATACTAAACTCACAATTCAAAACCTAAAATGATCTTTTCTACGTACTCTGTGGGATTCCCACTGTTAAGTTTGGGGCATATTTTATTCGAAATCATCAACAGGCATATTTTATTCGAAATCATCAACCTCAACAGCTTGGCTGCAATATCAAAGGTAAGTTTAGAACAAATTAGGTCTTAGGAATACATTTACTCACAGAAAAAATATTTTTAATATTAAAAATAATTACAACACATCCTAATATCCAAAAACATTTAAAATACTAAAGTAACATGACCTCATATTGCAGTGGTAGAGATTATTAGTTTTTATTTGATGCCCCAATTTACGAGATGCCCTGCAAAAAAATAAATATTTAGTGTTTTCAAATAAAGGAAAACTCATATACTTATTCAAATTGGCAACTAAATCAGTTTTTAAATAACTGGGACATGTTATAAAAATTTAAGCATAATTGCATACACTTTTTCTTATTAATGTGTACTTAAATTGGCTTATACATGTTCTAAAAAAAAATAGAATTAGAAAAAGTGAATTACCAAATTACAAATCAGTCAATGACTAACCAATTTAAACTACTTACAATTTATATAGATTATGATTTAGTTAAATATACTCTAAAAAAACCAATTTTGAACATATTACCCAGAAAAATTGATATCAAGATCAATGGGAACAGTAACACCACACATGGGAAACCCTAACAACACACATGTAATTGAAAAAAATGCATATAACATTAATAACAAACAGCAACCTTTCAGGTTCTCTATGTAATTGATAACATAAATAATTAAGCACACTTTAGTGTCTTCCAAGACAAACCCATGTAACTGCTCTATAAATACCAAACCATGGACAACAATATTTGATTTACAACAGTTGCCTGAATACAATAAACTCAAATCATAAAAAACACAGTAGGTAAAGCATTGCTATTGCAGACCATGAAGAAGATTACATCTTCATGCACGATTGGATCCAAGAGGAAACATTGTCGTCCAACAAAATGTATTTCTTCAAGAAATTCATTAAATACACTATCAAAGCATGTAATCAATCATCTACTGCAATCATCTAATCATGTAATGATGCATCTAATATTACATATTCAACTGTTAGAATAGGAAAACTTAGCTTTCTTCGAAACTGTATCCAAAACTGTGAAACCCTCCTGTCAAGGTCTAAGAATAGCAGAAGATCATATAAATCTGAAATAACATAAACAAAAAGGAAATAAACCATCAGATATATGACTACGAACATTATTATCGTAAAATAATCAAACAAATTATAGATAATGTTTTGAAATACACTTAAAATTGAAGGTGTCTGATAACTTATCTGAAAACTATGGGAAATCCGAAGCTATTGTAGCTAAAAGCGGCGATTTCCACGAATTCAATTCTGAAAACCAAACTTGGAGTCAAACATTTTAAAACCCTAAACCTTCGCTCATAGACCTCGGCCCTCAATCGGACATGCGAGAATAGATTCGTGTAAACCCTACACTCAGATTCAATTCCCCCAACTATTGCATGTCTGAAATGGACTCCCAAAATCTCATCATCTTCATCTTCAAGATGTTTTATCGAATCAAAACAGATCGATGACTACAAGAACATCGAATGATTTTATATAAATGAAAAGCCTAGAAAACGTTTGTAGAGGAACAACCTTACACTCAAATTCCCACATTCCAGCCGCAGCTGTAAGCTTTCTATCGCGACACAGCGGCAGGGTTTCTTCATCGTGAATATGTTAGAGAGATAGAAATTGCGTGAAAATGGCGAACGGTGGCATAGATCACACCCTCTAATTTTGTAGGAGATAAGGTCAACACATGAATTGTGCTAAACCAAGGCTTCCCGGTGTGTATGTATCGTACAATAGAAATGGAAAGCTAACATCGGAGATTATGCATCCACATTCAAAGATAAAGAGTACAGATAAGGTCAACAAAGACCAAATGTCCTTAACCAAAAGTAGTAACCAAGGTTTAGGAAATGATGCCTTAGTTAAGTATATTAGGCTTACCATATCTATAATCTATAATATATAATATTTTTAATTTATATGTTTATAATTATTAATAACTTGCTTATCAATTTTATTTAAGCTGTCATATTCTACTGGTCATTGTTATAATACTTTTATTATAATTAAAATATTTATAGTTTAAATTGTAAATAATATGGTATGAATTAATAGTTTTTTAAGTATTCCACATGTGTGTCAGTTTTTCATTACATAAGATTGAATATATAAGAAAATCTTTTTATATTCCAAGATTCACTTGAAACACAATGTTGTTATGAATGGGGGGCAACTCTTTTTGTCTACAAGTAATATTTTTTAATTCAAGCGTAAACATAAAACAAGTAATAACCATTAAAACTAGAGTCATCTAAAGTCTAAACTTAGTCTTTTAGATTACTGTTATTGTATATAACAATATAAATCTAAGTTCTATAACATGTTTATTGAATGTTAGGCATCACAAAACTATATAAAAGCTTACAAATACCAGAGTTACTCATTGTTTTGTAAATTAAATCTCTACAAAAATGAACGTGTTAAGCTGAAATAGAATAAGCAAATACTAGACAATGTTAATTTCGAGTGACTGAGCGAGTCACCGTAGTAAGGATCGATGGCTTTTGTGAGTCACCATGCTAGATCTGTTGATGAAAATAAGTATATTTACTTAGATTTGTAAAATCAACATAAAGCTCTGAAGAACAAACCTAGATTGCGTTAAAAAGGTCCAAAAATATTGATCTGAACCAAGCTTAGAATTAGGAAAGTACAATGAACAATCGCCATCCATGAGTAAAATTTGAGGACAATACTTACGCAAGAGAGCAATAAATCTGTAGAAGGAAGAAATTGAGCAGAAGAAATGGAATCGTTATCGAGAAATAAGAAAGTCAGGTTTCCCCATCACTTCTCATCTCAACGAGAAGGAAGAAACTTCTGACATACTTCATGCTGGGTTTCTAAATGTACTACTCCGTATATATTAATATAATTATATAATTATATTATATATTATTATAAATTATAAAGGTGTAATAATATATGTAAGTTTCCTCTGTGAAGCAACAATTGTTCGAATTATATATATATATATATATATATATATATATATATATATATATATATATATATATACATTATAGTATATTATATATAATATAAGTGGAAATTGACATTATATTATTTATTAGAATTTAACTTTTTTATGTTGTTTTGCAAAAGAAATTTATTTATATTAGATGTGTAATAGGACTATGAAATTGTTTTACTTAGATTGGTAAAATCAACCTATGGGATAGTTGCAAAGTTTTAAGGTTGACTAAAAACCTCAGGCTAAGTTCGGTACACAACGGTGTGAACCGGCAGGCATTACAAGAGTTTGCTAACTGGATTGCCAATATCGGCGATGGAAAGCTGGGTGAGCGGAATGATGGATTCGCAGAGGTTGAAATACCAAATCACATGTTAGTATCATCCGGGAGGGACGACATTAAAGCAATTGTGGACAGTACATTTCTAATGTTTGCAAATGGAAATACTGACTCCGAGCATCTGATAGGTCGTGCTATACTAGCACCAACGCTCGACGTGGTCAACGCAGTTAATGAATATATGACTGAGTTGCATAATGTCGAAAGCAGGTCATACTATAGTTCAGACGCAGTATGCAAAGCCGATGGCGATAATGGTATACTTGGAGATGTACACACACCAGAATTTCTAAACAGCATTCGGGTGTCAGGTCTATCAAATCATACACTGAATTTGAAAATCGGCTCACCAGTAATGTTAATGAGAAATATTGACCATTCTCTTGGGTTGTGCAATGGAACTCGGTTGATAATCACAAAGTTAGCAGACCATGTTATTGAAGGCGAGCTTCTCACTGGTCCCAGCAAAGGTACAAAAGTGCTAATCTCCTGAATGTCAATGTTACCATCGGATCCAAGATTGCCGTTCAAGTTTCAACGAAGGCAATTCCCATTGATGCTTTCATATGCGATGACCATAAACAAAAGTCAAGGCCAAACGTTGACTCATGTAGGTTTAATACTAAAGAAACCGATTGTTGTACACGATCAGTTGTACGTAGCTGCATCTCGGGTTAATAATCCAGACGGTCTCAAAATATTGATTGTAAAAGACTCAAGTTCAACTACTACATCAACCACTAATGTTGTATATCATGAAGTTTTCAATAATTTATAATTTTGTAATGTATTCTTTTTATATTACCAACACCTTGCAACTATTTGTAACATACCATTTTCATACGTTTTTTGTTGTATTCCCAAATATATCACACAAATTTTAACATAAAATACACACAATTAAAATTTTTTAAATAACATACCGTGCAACGCACGGGTCAAATACTAGTTATATATATATATCCCATTAAATATATTCCTATATTTAGTGTGAATGAATAGGAATGTTCAACCACCCACCTTCCAGGAAAAAAAACACTGCCTATATATAGTAAGTCAGACGCGCGACTCACAGAGTCCAATCGTCCCCTGGTTCCACCTTGTTCTTCTCTCCTCTGTTTGGCTCCTCGCCATTGGAACAGACCTTCGTCTAACCTGGCGAAAACCCTCCATATTCTATATTTGAAGTTTTAATTTTTAATTTTTAATTTTTAATAATCGCCAGTCTCATGAAGGCGTTGTTTCGTCAGAATCCCCGTATAATCTTTTAGAGTTTCCCTCTTCCTTGTTAAATTTTCACGAGGAATTGAGAAAAAAGAAGATAGCTTTTTTTGATGGAGAATCGAGGCGAAGAATTACCAATGGTGGTATATCAACGCTCTAATTTTAAAGGGGGGTGTTTAGAAATCCGTTTGTTCTACGTACGGGTTGCGCCATGTGCAGTCAACGCCGTACCCGACTACCTGACTCTCCGCCACCTCCGCCGTGAGAGGGGCGTGTCGTTAGCTATCAATGGGTCTCGAATTCCTGCCTCGGATGCCTCCTCGATCACGCTCCGCCGCGACCGCGTGGATAAGGAGTCGTCGGAGGTGACTTACGTGAGCACGGATAGCGTATGGGTCTCCGGGCCGGTTGAATTTGAGGTGTTGGAGAAGGAAGACGGATTGATTCTTTGCGGGTCGTTGGAGAGAGTGGATTTGCCTTGGTCGAATGGCAATGTGCTGGATAGCGATTCGCCGACGGGCTGGAGCATGGATTGTCACACCGCGGCATCCGGCGCATCGGCATTTTTCCAGCCAAATCTCCGATTTTGCTCCCCGTCGATTGAGGTTTATGTAGCCGGATGTTTTTCTGGTGCTCCGGTGATCTTGACAAAGACAATTCAGGTTAGCCCGAGAAAGAAGAAGACCAGGCAGGCGTTGTTGGATGCCATTCCAGAAGAGGAGGAGGCGTGGAAGGTGCAGAAAAAGGTGAATGAACCAGTTAGACGACGAAAAACAGAGGTATTCCATTCCCAACCTCACCACTTTTTGCCCATTTCTTGCTTTTTCAATGCACTATACATGGAATTTTGTAAGTGAAGTGACTTCTGATACTATTCCTCTCAAGTCTCAACTTTTAAGAATGAGTAGATAATTGGAAGTTTTGTGGCTGAAATAATAATTGTGACAAGAAAAACTAAAAAAATCAAAATGCAATTGCAGTTGGAAGAATGAGAAGGTAGATTAAAATCATGCTAGCTTCTTGAGACATTGGAGGGTAGGATGTTGCAGGAACTTTAATGGCTGATTTCATCAGTCTCTAGGTTTAGAACAACCTGAGTTTTCAACATCAAGGGGAATTTCCTTTATTTCAAGGTATAATAATGATCTTCTAGAGGAATAGCTCAACATTCTTTTGTAAAGGTCAGGTGGGGAGTCCCTGAAGATATGGTTGAAGCCTCTTGAAGTGGCTAGAGAAAAGTGGTCTATACTTAATCAGAGTGAAATGGGGTGGATGAAGAAACATATAGACATATTTGCCAGAGTTTATCTTCGTCTTCGTCTAATTTCAGGTCTTATATCGGCTTTTCCATTTCGGATTGTAAGGTTTTAATGAGCTATTTTGATTCTTGTTCCATTAGTTTCGAGAGTACGTCGAACCGTTTAGCTCATTCTTTAGCTTCTGCGGCCTTTTCTCAGGCTAGTGCTTTGTACTGGGATTCCAATCCCCCTGACTTTGTTTCAGATCTTCTTCGTTAATCTATTCTATTTTTCCTCTCAAAAAATAAAATTAAATTATAGACATAGTATGTGAGGTAGATGCCCTTTTGTGTAGTGAAGGCTATGAAGGTCTAATATTGGTGTCTGGGCGGTACATGTTCATTCTGCATCTTATTAAGTAGCTAGAGTTTCCTTGATGGTTTCATAAGGAGAAAATTGCATCAGGGTAAGGTCACCTTGGAGCAATACCTCTGATGGTTATTCAAGATCATCCAAAATGTTCATGTGTTGATACAAATTTTTTACATATCAGACACTTAATTCTTTGCTACAATATACTGTATTCTCTCCCTTTCCTCTCTCTATTTCAATTGTCATTTTCTTGTCTTTTTGTTTTGCAGATCATAGAGGAGGCAGATATAGACACTTACAAGCTTGATGAGAAAACCGGGCAAGGCTTATATTCAGAAGAAATGTGTGCAGATGAAGATGGCCAACTGTCCTGGTTTAATGCTGGTGTAAGAGTCGGTGTGGGGATAGGCCTGGGAATGTGCCTTGGTGTCGGCGTTGGTGTGGGACTGTTTATGCATTCATATCAAACAATGACCAGGAATCTCAGGAGGAGGTTCTTTTAGATACAACAATGTTTTAAACGAAAGAGTAACCAACATGCTGACTATTTGGCATTCTCTGTCAAGAGGCACCCGAAGGAACACCATTTCTGCGTGACCCCCTGGACAGCATAGCGAAAACAATAGAAGAGGTAAAACCTATCTAGTATCTCCAGGCTAGTCTAGGCGGGTCTGATGCACCTCAAGAAAGGTGGTGCCATTCATATCCAGGTAGGAAAACAGAAAGACTTTAGCAATCTTTTAACTAAACCTAGCATCGCAGTGGTAGCTGAGGCAACAACACAAAGCAAACTGTTCAAATCTCGAAAGCTCATTTAACAAATGCATTTCGGCTAGGGGCCGGGATACATGAACAACTCTGAACGTCTTGCTTTCGATTAAGTAGCAGTAAGTATTCCATTCATAACTTGATTAACCCAGTAGAATAATGATAATATGGGGGTATATGTATATCTTCCTATGTCATTATGCCAAGGATGTTGGTGTGAAGTCTTGCAGTTTTTACAGAGGTGATCAGCTGTAAGTAGTTTAAGAGTCTTTCATAGATATGTGTGTTTGTTCAATTGTAGCTGCCTTAATAAGGTATTCATTCCTCTTAAATAAATGGATATTTGTAGAGCCCCATCATACTTTCAAATGTTAGTGTACTGTCCAGACATATCTTTCATATTTTGCATAGTTCTAGTGAGCATTCTAACAGTACTACTATGTTTTTTTAACCAGTGCAAAAACGGTATCATTTACTCCCTCTATGGTAATGTACTAAAACCACTTGCCTACAAGGCTACATATGTTGTCTTCCTTGTTTTCATGATGTTTGTGGAAAGCTTTGACTAGGTAGAGTGGCATCTTTTGGTGAAAACTGATCTTTATAGACTATTAAACAAGTGTAGTATAGTCACAAAATTTTAATGTCACATAACCAAAAAAAAAAAAAAAAAAAAAAGATTTATACTACCAAAAATTACTCAAAATAGACATGAAAGTAAAATATAGGGAAAATGGTCAAATAAACCCTTAAAACTTTATCCAAAATGTTAATTAGGCCCTCATTTTTTTAAAGCAACTGAAGAACGAATATTAAAGATAACCAACAATAGAGTCAGGAGGGATAACATCCCAGTACATGGCAATAGTCAAGGAGCACTATAGGATCTGCAACCAGGTCCTATAGCCGAGGACAAGTAGTGCTGGAGAATCGAGCAGCCTGTAGCCGAGGACAAGTAGTGCTGGAGAGTCGAGCAGTCTATGTAAACCTCCACCCTTTGTTCCCCTCGTCCCCTTAGCCAGGACAAGGCTTCCTTGCACGCAAGCGCCTCAGCCATTAGTGGAGATAAGCAGTTCGGCAGCCGGCTGTTGAAGGCCGCAGTGAATCCTCCATCGTCGTCGAGCAGCACATCGCGACCGTGGCACTCTACGTCGTGGGCTGATATCCGGCGCCGAACCAGCAATTCCGCACCAGGTGATGGCGTGGTTTGAACCGTGGAAGTCAATTAGGCCCTCCTTAAACTTTTAGAAGTTGCAATTAACCTACAAATACGTTATTTTGGAGCAATGTAACTTACTAACCTGTTAGTGACCTGTAATTGCTGATCAATTAAGGTTCCAACCAACTCCGGCAAACATCCGACCAAATTTTGGAAAGTTAGGTCAAATACCGGCGACTGTTGACGGTTGCCAGTCGTGTTCTGCCGGAGAAGGCGACATGCAACCAAGTTGGTCGCCTTCTCCTGCAGAACGCGACCGTCGCTGGTATTTGACCTAGCTTGCCGGAATTTGGTCGAATGTTTGTCGAAGTTGGCTGGAACCCTAATTGACCTGCAATTACAGGTTACCAACAGGTTAGTTGGTTTCATTGCTCCAAAATAACATGTTTATGAGTTTAATTGCAACATCTAAAAGTTTAAGATCCTAATTGATTTTTTTGGTAAAATTTAGAGACTTATTTGACTATTTTCCCTAAAATATATTATACGGAGTGAAAAATTTTGACCTTTTTATTTATTTATTTATTTATTTAGAATCTATTACTATTCACATTTATTCAATCCTATTAGTCACTTAAGGCTTAACTTCTTATCTTTATGTATAATAAATATAGTTCTCCATTCAATTACTCTTTTTGAAGTAACCATTTTAAATAAACAAGTTGAGATAAATATTATGAAATGAAAATATCATGAATATTACCTTGAAAGTTGACAAATTAGTTGCTTATAAAATCTTTAAAAAATTTGTGGCACAAAAATAGAAAGTGACGGTATATAGAATATTATATATATAAAATGTTACTGCGTATAAGACATGATTAATAAAAATAAAAATAAATAAATAATATTGTATTTCTCTATTGCGACGTAATAATTAATTCAGCCATCTATGAATTCCGCGTAACTGTGATTGAGTAATCATTCACGACCGAATCGTCTCTAGCCCAACAGGTGTGCGTCTCTTCAGCTCGGTCGAGAGGTAATCGCATCTTCTCCTCGAGCTCGTTTCTGCGATCAATTTATTCTGCTATTGCTCCGACGGATCTTGCTGTCGTTTCGCATATGTCTATGTTTAAATCAGTTTAGTTTGTCTTATAATTCTAGATCCTACCTGATCTCAGTTGTCTGATTGGAAATTTACATCTGATTTGTGTGTGCATATGTGTGGAAATGCTGTGGTATTATCGGATTGGTGGACGGTGCTGACTTTGATTTGGAGCTTCAGCTCGAGCTCATTATTGTTATAGATCTTGACTGATTTGCGTTGGTTTTGAATCTCCCGAAATTAATTTGTCTAGAAACTGATTTAGGAAGCTGAGCATCGCATTTCCCTGTGCATAATGTATAGTTGACTGCATGACTAGTTTCTGCTCTTTCTTGTTTTGGCATGGAACTGAAACGGAATAAATCACTAAGTTCTGTGGTCCTGCATAATTTGATAAGTGAAATTTTGAATTCCGTGATGTTACTGATTGTGCAATGAATTTGAGGTGTGAAGTTACCTTTCTTTTTCAGTCTTTTTGCAACTTCTGACTTTATGCTGCATTTTGGACGGAATTTCTCCTTGCAAACCAACTGTATTTGTTAAAAGTGGAGTGGAACTTACTGTTTCTGGGAGGATCACCCAACTAATTGTGGGCTCATCGAAATGTTTTGTCTTGGTTTGTTGTTATGAAACTGTAAACTACAGATTGTATAAGTTCAAGCAGCTCCAAATAAAATTTTGTACCCAATATCAGCATGTAGGTTGTTAAAAGTTGAATTAATAGTGGTTACCTCAACTTCTGTTGACTGATAATTGATGTCTCCCTTTTAACTGAAGCTATGTCTCTAAAGAGTTGGTTCAGCGAGTAATTCTATTAGATTCATTACTGGTTATTTTTTTTTTTTTTTTTTTTTTTATCCTTAACAGATATGAGCTGATTATCATTGAGTTAGCCTTTTTCTTAATTCTGTATTTATGTAAAAATTGAATACCAAATGATTTGTATGTTGTTACAGTTATTTTGTACTAGTTTGCAAAAGCATGTCAGGTATGGAGGATGTCAAAGGGCAAACAGAGGGAGGTGTTACAGAAAAATCTGAAATATCCATGCCATCATCCCAACAGGAAGTTGTATTCGCATCAAATATTTGAAATCTGTTTTTTACTTTTCATGCTTCTTCAGAATTTTAATTAGCTGTTTTTCTTAATTTTGTTTCCATTAGCAAGAGGTTGTTAAGAAAAAATATGGAGGAATCATGCCCAAGAAACCACCATTGATCTCTAAGGTGATTTGACATAGTTTTATTAAAAGATTGCAAGTGATGTTTGTTGTTGTGCTCAGAATGTGAAATTATGATAGATTCTTTCTCTTAAGAAAAGCTTTCTTTTAATTTCAGGACCATGAGCGTGCTTATTTTGATTCTGCTGATTGGGCTCTTGGAAAGGTAGCATTCTTGTTTGTACCACTACCATTTTGAGGCTATTTGAATTACTTGCATATCGCAGTTGGTTAACATGTGGTATGAATTATGATTTACAGCAAGGTGTAGAGAAGCCTAAAGGGCCACTTGAGGCACTTCGTCCAAAGTTGCAGGTAGTGTAGTGGGCCTGAACTGCTTTGCTGACTGTTACTTCATGCTTGGCAAACCATTTTTTTTTTCTTTTCAATGTTTTACCTTGAGGAAGATATAAAGGCTGCTGAGGGTGGTGAGGACTGAGTTTTGTGCATTGGATTGAAGGTGGCATTTCTAAATGGGGGAGGGAGATAAATTTGGATACAAATGTGGATTATTGGGAGATGGGAATGTTAAAGTACTTTAGATGCTAGGATTGAAGGTAGCACTTCTAAAGATGGGAAGGAGATAAATTTGGATTTGAAATGTTGTTGAAGTGTTTGTGAGAATATGAGATTAATGTCCAATCAAATAAACTAGTAAAATTACAAGTTTACAAGATTTCAAAAAAAAAAAAAAAAACTAGTAAAATTACAGTCTTTTTGCATCTGGACATGAATACAAGATTTATTGATACAGTTTTACCCTCTGGTTATGTATCTCTTGTCTGCTTTTGAAATTGTTTCTTCACTTCTAACACTTGCATCCCTTTCGAATTTTGATGTTCTAGCCAACACAACAGCAAACAAGATACCGCAAATCCCTTTGTGGACCAGCAAATGGTGAAGGTATGTTGGATGATTGGCTTTACTGTGCTATAACATGTGCTCCGGTTAGATATATTTGGTCTCAGAGCATTTTCCCCCAAGACTAAAGTTCTCTTGTGCCTTGCTCCTTTATGCAGATGGAAGTAACTCCCCATCAGACGAAGCAACCCCAATGGATGAGAAATAGATGGGGTAACCTTTTGATCAGAGATGATTATTTAGTTTTACTTTGTTCTTCTGGGAGTGGAGAAAAGGACTTGAAATTGCTGTCATGCTTGTTTCCCCAGGGCGCAAATCATTCCCTTCTGGCTACACTTGCAATGTTGTACTTTCTAGATATTTTCTTATCTTCTTCCATGATGTAAGACATCTTAATGATCAAATGGACAAGCAAATAGAATTGTGATGATATTCTACTTGTAGCTTTATTTTGAGTCTGTTTTGATCCGTATGCCACTTCAACTTCTATGAAAAGTGCAGGCTTAAGTCACCCAAAATACCAATAAGATGTCATTCAGTGGAATTTATTCATTGATTCCGCTGAAATACTGAGAATGAAACATAAGATTAATGTCCACTCAACCTGGGTGGCTGGCAATGGTCCAACAAAATTTGATTTGATAGGAATCAAACACGAAATTCTCCGTATCTTCTTAGCAAGACGAAGACGACAAGGCCTTTCACTATTGGATTATTCGTTTAGCGCTATGTATGCACAAAATTTATTCATTTTAACTAATAATTTTTAGACCATAAAAATTTGAAGAAATTGTACGTGAAACTTGTACGAGTCGTATACTATATGATGAACTGTTTTGGTTTTGCTTCATCAAGAAATCAATGGGTAAAATGGACAATTTGCTTAATTACAGAACGATAAAAGTAGGTCCAGTAAGTATAGGGGCTTGACAGGAAATATGAAATTTACAGAGGACGTTTATGTGAAAAAAGAAACAGGCTCAGTCCTGCATTAGTAAGTAGCAAAATAGCAAAGGAAAGGATGCAGGTGGGGAGAGAAGGGAGGGAAGACTAGGGTCCATCTCCTGCTCCACGACTCATTTCAACCCGTGCTTTCTCTTCCCTTTTCTCTCGAAGCTCTGGGGAAGAGCAATTACGTTACACACTACTGCATACGGTGTGATATAGAGAGGGAGAGAGAGAGTGTGTGTGTGTAGAAGAAGTTATTATACGCGATGAGTATGAAGAAGAGAGAGAATCAATCGTCGTCGTCTTCTAGATCTCCAGCGCCAATGGAGCTCCCGAACAACCCTACGCTTGAGAAGCAGAAAATGCCTCTAGTGGTCACTCTGAATTGCATCGAGGACACGGCCTTTGAGCAGGACTGCTTGGCCGGCATCGTTTTGGTGGACCACGTGCCTCTCAGTCGCCTCGCTGAGGCCCGGATCGAGTCGGCTTCCGCGGTGCTGCTTCACTCCCTCGCCTTCCTCCCACGCGCCGCCCAGCGGAGGCTTCGTCCCTGGCAGCTCATCCTCTGCCTCGGCTCCTCTGATCGGGCTGTTGATTCTGCCCTTGCCGCTGACCTCGGACTCACTCGACTTGTCCACGTCGATTGTAGTAGGGCAGAGGAGGTTGCTGACACGGTCATGGCTCTGATCCTTGGCTTACTTCGCCGCACGCATTTGCTCTCCAGGCATGCTTTATCCGCTTCCGGTTGGCTCGGTTCAGTCCAGCCGCTTTGCCGTGGAATGCGCCGTTGTCGTGGTCTTGTGTTAGGGATCATTGGTAGATCTGCCTCAGCCAGGTCCTTGGCTTCTCGGAGCCTGGCCTTCAAGATGAGCGTCCTCTATTTTGATATTCAAGAGGTAGATATAAGGAGTTATTGATTGATTCCATGATATAATTTCACTGATTTTAACTTAATAACTGTATTTATCTAGCCTAAGTAGATATTAGAAAATTTCATTAATACTGTAGATTAATTGATGGATTTCATGCTACATTTTGGTTGATTTGAACTTAGTGACTACATCAGGGTAGCTTATGTAGAAACAAAAAGAATTCATTACTAACATTTGGAGATACTCGCCGTAGCTAAGTATGCTTTCTGATTTATGATATGAGGTTTTGGTTCCTGCTGTATACTTGAATCCATGGCATTAATGAGTGTAATGGACCTCTCACAAATGCACCATATGAGAGACCCAGTGGAGAAAGGAGAAAGATCACTGTTAAATGAGTCTCAATATCTCAGTTCTGCAAACTTTTCCATTGCCAATGGGGATTTATTATGTGTCGATTAACAAGTGACATTGCTTCTCAGCAATATCAGTTTGCATCTCTAAGTATATATAAACTTGTTATATATACATGTGCTTAATCTACTTTTTCTAACCAACTTTTCTTTTATAAATAATAATACGTGCACAGGGAAATGGAAAAGTGAGCCAAACCGCCATTCGCTTTCCTACTGCAGCCAGGAGAATGGATACTCTTAATGATTTGCTTGCTGCAAGTGATGTAATATCGTTACACTGTGCCCTCACAAATGAAACAGTTCAGATTATTAATGCAGATTGTTTGCAGCACATAAAGCCTGGTACTTATATCCTTGGAGTTCTGATAGAAAGACTTATCTTTATATTTCTATTCTAATAAGGAATCAACTAGTTGGCTGTTCCATGCAGGGGCATTTCTTGTTAATACTGGTAGCTGCCAGCTACTAGATGATTGTGCTGTGAAGCAACTTCTGATTGATGGCACCCTTGCTGGATGTGCTCTGGATGGTGCTGAAGGGCCACAATGGATGGAAGCATGGGTATGATGCATAGTGTTAGGGGTATGAATAATTGGAAGGAATATGTTTGGAGAGTGCTACTTTTCTATTGGACTTCTGTTTGAGATGGGGTTTTTGTGCATTTTCAATTCATACTAATAGAGTTTATCACAAACATTATAATAATAAATAATGGATAGTAAAAGATGCAGGGAGGCCATAGTATATATAGCACTCTGTTGCAATACTAGTTTGTGTGTTGCTAAAAATGGATGACTTCATGACTTAGCATTCAAGGGTTATTACTATCAATCTATCAGTACTGCATTGATCTTCCTGATTTTTGTTATGATGTTGTGACATCAGGTTAAGGAGATGCCCAATGTTCTGATACTTCCACGCAGTGCTGATTACAGTGAAGAAGTGTGGATGGAGATAAGGGAGAAAGCAATTTCCATGCTGCAGGCATTCTTCTTGGATGGTGTGATTCCAAAGGATTCCATATCTGATGAAGAAGAAGAGGAAAGTGAGATAACCTATGGAAATGAAGAGTGTAACATTCGAGATAACCAAAGTGTCATGCAGGGTCCTGTTGGTGAGCGTTACACTGAAGATGTCAACTTAATTGCAGAAAGCTCCCAGACAAAAATAATGAGCGAATCAAGGGAACCTCCTGTTCAGCCACAGGGTTCTGTTTTGTCTCAAAATGTTTCTGAAAGATCTGAAGTAAAGAGAAGCAGATCTGGTAAAAAGGCTAAAAAGCGGCATGCACGTCAAAAGTCTCAACAGAAAGTAGATGAGCACTTGAAATTTGAGAAAGAGAGTACTTCACAAAATGATGATGGTGCTGCATTGAGTGGAACTGATCAAGTGTTGAGTTCTAGTCCACGATTTTCATCTCCAGAAGATGTTAGAAGTAGAAAAACTCCAATTGAGTTCATTCAAGAATCATCTTCAGAGAAACTTCTGAAATCGAACATGGATCTCAGTAGAAAATCTGGTGAACTATTGAAAGATGGATATATCATAGCTTTGTATGCAAGACATCACCCTGCACTCCACGTTTCCAGGCAAAGAGTTCAAGGAGGAGGTTGGTTTCTTGATTCAATGTCAAATATCACAAAGAGAGACCCAGCAGCACAGTTCCTTGTTGTTTACAGAAGCAAGGTTGGTATATTGGAAGTTCCTTTCAATTGCATGTGGCTCAATGCTATTCTCCACTTGGATTTATAGAAAAGTTATATTTGCAAAGTTTTTTGTTTATTTGAGATGCAATTTTACATTCGTGGCTAAGCCCTTGAAATGTTGTTTGATAGAAAAGAAAAAGGCAAAATACAAACAATGCTAATCCACTCAGTGGATGTCCCTTTTGCAGGATACTATTGGGCTGCGATCATTTACTGCTGGTGGAAAGCTATTGCAGGTCTGTCTTTTTTCATACATGTTGGCAAGTTTTTCCTAGCCATCATTTTTTCATGTCACTGGAATGGTGTCTGTCATCCAACTAACATTATAGATGTTTTGTTTGAAGTTACATGTTCTAGTAGTTTCATATCATTATCCATGTCTAAGGCATCTCTATGGCTAATTCTTTTTTTCTTTCTTATATTTCATTTCCTTCTAAATATGCACTTCAGACAAAAAAATCCTCTCTTTTTTATGCAATTAAAATATTGTAGTTTTTGAAAGTACTACAGTTCCCCCACCAAACCAAAGGAAATGGTGCATCTGTTTGTGGCTGGCCTTACAAGTGGGTTCTTGAATGGTAATGGCAAGAGAATGAAGAAATATGAAAACAAAACATTGCCAACTAAGAATGTCATCTAGCATTGACTAACAAATGGCATTTGTTTGGCTGAAATTGTTGTTTGGACATGGATGAAAATGTAGGCTTGGACCACATTAATACTTTACTATTGATGTTGTGCTCTGGATAAGTGAACAGACTATCTACTTCAGTAAATTTGCACCTCGAATTATATGAACTGTTCCAAATTATGGCTTCTTTGATTTTCATTGCTGTAAACCTTCTCTATGGTACATATTGATGCAAACTTTGGTGAAATGAACCTTTCCACCTTAGACCTTTGAAATCCCTTCTTGTGAGGAAATTTAATAAGTACTGAACCATCAGGGCAACTTTTCATGCTTCTGTTATGGGTGTTGAAAATGATATTTTGTTTTCATGGCTTGAGAAAGTGGGAAATAGAACTTCCGTTACTATCATTTCCCATGTGATAGCTATCAAAGGTAGCTTGCTGTTCCCATCCCTGACATTACTTCATTCTACTTATCATGCACTTTTCCAGTAGCTAAATTGAGGAAGGTCCCCACTGCTTTATAATAATCCTTACATGTTCTTTTTGCACTGATTCATGAATATTGTTGCTGCAAATATTTTTTCTTCTACATTTTGGTGACATGTTAGCATTATAAGCTAATGTGTGCAAGACTTTGTTGTTTGGAATTTTGACTTCATTTTGGGTGTTACAGATTAATAGGCGGATGGAATTTGTATTTGCCAGTCACAGTTTTGATGTTTGGGAAAGTTGGACATTTGAAGGTTCTTTGGAGGAATGTAGGCTGGTGAACTGTAGAAATCCTTTGGTATGTTGCTTATACTTCTATTCCACATGTTATTAAGTGGGAATCTTGTTTGGAAAGTTGGACATATTAGTGCCCATTTGTACAATTGTACATCCCTATAATTTTCTCTACAGTGTCATAGTGGACACAAAATAAAAGTGGGCAATTCCATGACTTCTTTGAGCAACTTGGAACTTTCTAGTGGCAACTCTACATACTGAGTCCTTGCTTCATAAATTTTGTTTTTGACTTTCCTTTAGGTTTTGTTGAATTTTCCTTTCCCATGTGCCATATATTTTGCCGACTTTTGATTGTGCCGTAATCTTTGCACCTTTCAGGCTATTCTGGATGTACGCATCGAAGTCCTTGCAGCTATTGGAGAAGATGGTATTACACGCTGGCTTGATTAGGTAGTGACTTTCAAATGTTTGTGCAGAGTCCTTAACAAATTCATCTGAATTAGATCAGTGTTTGCGAAATTAGAAACGAAAGAGAAAAGGTTGGGTCATCATCAACCATTCCGGTCTTTAAGAGTTGCCGAGTGTTAGTACTGTTTGATATTCTGTCTCTCCCTTGGTATTGAAATGTTGTAATCCCGTGGAAATGCCTCTTCATTCTCAGCCTGCCTACCCTCCGTTTATCACGACTCTAAAACATAGAATTTTGGTTACGTGGAATTGTTTCTCTCTCTATGAAATTACTGTTCGTTTTTTCGTTGTGTGAAGCTTTATGCCTAACAATTGTGCTGGTTGGCAAAGGAAATGATGCACAAGAAATGCCGAGCTGAAACTGGTTCCATATGCCAGATGCGATGCATACTGAATTTTATTTAATTCGATTGGATAAGGAGAATAATGGAGTTTGTTTTTTAACCATAGGGATAGACCAAGGGGAATACAAAAGCAGGGGCTCCAGAACCCACTAGAACATTCATTCAACACCACCCACGGGCCACGGCTACCACCTTCTCCTTCCTTTCTGTAATTCCATTTACGTATCTCTTCACCTTTTTATTGTCCTGTTCCCTCCTTTGGTTTGGTACCCAAACTGCAATAATATCTATTGGTAACAACAATACATGGTTGAGTTAAAATGGATTCACTGTGGAGTGCCTTTTCAGCTTTTTCAAAGGGCCTTTAAAAAAATCGTTTACTTATGTCCTTAGAATTAATTTCCATTCATAAAATCAAATCAGGAATATATAAAACGAGGAAAAAAATAGACCTATGCTATTCATTGCATGACCTTAACTCTACAAGGAATTATTTCAGGTGAGGTGGCACGACACTAACTAACCCAAGGAGTTCAGTGCCTACCACTATATGTCAGGTCAATATCTTGTTATTATGCTATAAATAAAATTTATTTAAAAGAAAAAAGAAAGGTTTTTTATAACTACCTAAAAATGCTACCTCTGAACCTGCCAAACAGAAGCTGACACTTATAAGGTTATATAATTTCATCTCCACCGCTAACTTCACTCCACGCTTCGACGGTCACGATCCCTTCCCTCTCTCCAATGTAGAGTCCGTTTACATCCGTATAAATACAAAAATGTAACCCCCTCTTCTTCCCCATCCCTCCATATATCATAAAAAACGCAGTTCACACAACCGCAACACACACAGAATTCCTTTCTCGATCCTCGATTCGGTATTCCTATATGGTTTCCGTTTATCCGAACCTTCCACCGTCTCCAGAGTTGTTCTACTACTTCGCCGGGGATCCGACGAAAACCGGTCTTCCTGCCCTGCATTCCAATCAGCCAGTGACGGTTATGAATACATCGGCCGTACCGGCGAGCGAGAATTCCGATAGCGTCGGTTTGCTTCCGGAGGACTCGAACAAGAAGGTGCGCAAGCCTTATACCATCACCAAGTCCAGAGAGAACTGGACTGAGCAGGAGCATGACAAGTTTCTAGAAGCGCTCCAACTGTTAGTTATCTACCTCTGTCTCTCTCTTTCTCTTTTCATGTGTAAATACATATTCCGTAATATTTTGGCATACATCTTGTTTTGCATGCGCTTAGAGAATAGAGATGTTCTAGAATTTTCGCTGATGAAATGAGTAATTGTAAATATATACCTCTGTTTCTCTCTTCTCTTTTCATGTGTAAATATATACTCCGTAATATTTAGGCATACATCTTATTTTGCATGCGCCTAGAGAGTAGAGATGGACTAGAATTTTCGCTGATGAGATGAGTAACTGTAAGGAATTTGAATTGTACTTTTCGCTTTTATGGATCTAGCCTCTATTAGTTGATCGATCATATTCTTTTCTGCAGTTTTGCAATTTTACTTGATTTTCACTGTGTTTAAGTTCGCGTTATTTAGAAGTTTATACTCACATGTACTTAGTTGACTGCAAGGACCTTAAAAATGTAAGGGTGCATCTACTGGAGAAAGGAAAACATACATAGAAATTGAAAATTGGAGCCTAAACTTTTCTGGTTTTGCATATGTTTGTGTATTTCCATCCCTGCCTCTTGTCACTTTCCCTGGATGTTCTGTTTGTCATGTGGGGTTAGATGCTCGAATTGGGATGCTTACTGTATGTCAAATGAAAATGGATGGAAAGAGTTCTGTTATTTAATTTTTAGTCTCTCTCTTAGCAATACAAGGAGAACAATATGATTCTATGAAGTCATTGTATGTAGCTAGATACTTAAGTTATCACTAGCAGGAACCAAGTGTTTTCGAAAGAGTTAGCAGCGAGAGTATCTTTTGAGAGGCTAGTAGCAATCACAGGGTGACTTTTTCCCAAGTCGAGATTAAAATATTAAAGCATGCAGATTATATGATCTGTAGTTTTCTTTCCAATTTCAAAGTATTCACTCAAATTTCCCCCTCTTGGAAATTTCCAGCTTTGACCGTGATTGGAAGAAGATTGAGGCATTTGTTGGATCGAAGACAGTTATTCAGGTATGTTGATCTACATGGACCTGTCAATGATCCTGGCTTTCCATATAAGCATTGTTGCTTGGTGCTGCATTATCCCTAGGATATGTAGAAACTCGGTGTGGAAAAATATAATTATGCATAGATGTGAGAAATTCGTTGCCTTGCTGCATTGTAAGTACCATTGTTCTGACCCTTAGCTTGTAGGAAAAAATGCTGCAAAGAATTAGATTATTGCAAGTCTCCAAACCTCCAATATATGAATCTATTGAAGTGGAATTTTTGCAGATACGTAGTCATGCTCAGAAGTACTTTTTGAAGGTCCAGAAGAGTGGGGCAAGTGAACATGTACCACCCCCACGTCCAAAGCGAAAGGCATCTCATCCATACCCGCAAAAGGCTCCCAAAAGTGGTTAGCATTGTATCTTTTTGTTACATGGCCTAGGACCAATGTTCTTAATACTCACATGCACCAGTTATCTCCCAATTTACAGGACCACCGTCTTCTCTACTTGAACCTGGATATGTAATCAGGCCTGATTCTTTGTCTGTGCCTGCCAACTCAATCGGCAATGCAGTTTTATCTCCTTGGAGTTACAGTAATGTCCCTGGTTTTAGTATATCACATGTGACTAAAGGTAAAAACATGTGTTAAATCATTTCTCAATATTTCTGTGTTGGTTTGGCTAACATAATTTGTTTAGTCCTGGTTAAACATCGTTTACATTTTCCTCCTTGTTGGCAGATGACATACAATTACTGGGCACGGCCATGTCCAAAAATTGCAGCAGTAGCAGTAATGAAAGCACACTCAGGAATTGGCCTACTAAGCGAACCAGTAATCAAGGGAAAGAGAAACAAAACAAGCAAATCCGAGGTCAGTTTAACATTCTGTTCTGACTGAATTAATTGTCATTATGCAATAAGTAAAGGTGTTCTTAGGGCATTGTTCACTTATAGGAGAGTTGATCCAGGAGATTCTTCACAGGGTGACCAATTTAACGTCAAATACATTTAAGGCTTCCAAACAACTGGTGTTTTTGCAATTTCCAAATGTTAAAGGCGTGTATGGTCAAGGACGTTGGGTTGAAATGTTGTTTTTGCATAGGCATAAGGCTTTCATAGCATGGTGTATTTACATGCATCATGCACATATAATAGAGGCTGATAGTGTGTATAGAATTTAGTTGATAACCTCTTTTTATCTTTTCATCCTTTGTGCATTAATCACTGTTTTCCACCTTTGTTGATAACATGACTATTCTGGCTATCTTCTCCCATTTCTCCTTAGTATGTAATTCTTGAACATTGTTGCATAGCAGTGGGATTTTGGTTTTCTTCTTAGTCTATATATTGTATGGTGAATTTTCAAAACACCAATGTTCTAAAAAATTATTTATTTTCCCCCTGTTTGGATGCAGAAATTCCAGATTTTGCTCAAGTTTACAGTTTCATTGGCAGTGTCTTTGATCCAAACTCAAGTGATCACTTGCAGAGATTAAAACAGATGGACCCCATAAATATTGAGACGGTATGCAAGATTCAAATTTGTTGAATGTGTTTGTCATGTTTCTAGTTCCTATGACAATGGCATCTGACCTTGGTTGGCCTTTCACCCCTAGCCACAAGTCATCCCCATATTGAAAATGTGAGAGAACATTGAGAAAACAACAAAAATGAATGTCGGTTTTAACCTTGCGAAAAGTCAGTGAACTTAAACAAAAATGAATGATGTTGTTTAATGGAGAAACTATGTCATTTCAAACAGAGACCTGGAATTAGACAGTTCATCAGGTTTTATACTAGGGATTTTCTTTCTTTGTCTATGAAGCATGCTGCCAATTGCATCATTTTTTTGTGTTAAACAATTGAGTAGTTTTGAATGTGTGGAGATTATGGGTGGTTATTGCCGATATCATATGAATTCCACCCAGATGGATGTGACCATTGTTCTGTACTGGTTTTACTTTTCTCAAGTGATCTGACTAAAATATATATTCTGTTGTTCCCATAGGCCCTGATGTTGATGAAGAATCTTTCTGTCAATTTAATAAGCCCAGAATTTGAAGATCATGTAAGTTAATTTGCTAGCCCTTTCTGCCAGTAATTTTATTGTGGTAGGAATTTTAATAAAAGTTGCCTTTAAAAAATGCCCTCAAACCCTTTTAATGTTTGGTGGCTTGGTGCAGAGGAGATTACTATTGTCAAACAACCTGGGTGCTGACAAGTTATCACAGGTCCTCTCATGAAGAGTGTCAGAGTGATGATGGGCCTTGTTAGTAGAAACACAAATATATACCATCTTCCCTGCACTGTTTTGCGGAGTGAGATAATTACATTTGCCGGTGCCCTCATCAAGCATGATAGGGGAAGTCGAGTACTTTAAAGTAGTTATATGCAATATACATGTGCTACTAGAGAGTTTGCTCCAATTCCATGTTTTCTGTACATAAGTTGATATAGAAATTGGTCCGAGAGATTACAGAAAATTTAAACTTGTATAAAGTTTGTCTGTCTCCGAAATGGTTAGAGTCCTATGGTGTGATGTGTTATTATTGTACAGAATATTTTGTTGGTAACCCATCTATACATTGCATTAGTGTGTGTACATATTTATAGATACAATATATATATATATACACACATACATATGCATATATATACATATGTATATATATATAGATACAATATATACAATACATACATATACATATATATACATATGTATATATATAGATACAATACATACATATACATATGTATATATATAGATACAATACATACATATACATATGTATATATATAGATACAATACATACATATACATATGTATATATATAGATACAATACATACATATACATATGTATATATATAGATACAATACATACATATACATATGTATATATATAGATACAATATATACATATAAATACATATATAGGTACAATACATACGTGTACTACATATATAGATGCAATAGATACATATACATATACATGTACTACATATATAGATATAAAATACATACATATATACATACAATAAATACATATACATACATATATACATATAGATACACATATACATACAATACATACATATAGATACACATACATACAATACATACATATAGATACATATATACATACAATACATACATATAGATACATATATACATACAATACATACATATATACATACAATACATACATATAGATACATACATACATATAGATACATACATACATATATACATACAATACATACATATAGATACATATATACATACATATATAGATACAATACCTACATATATAGATACATGTACTACATATAATAGATACAATACATACATATATATATACAAAATACATACATATAATAGATACAATACATACATATATACATACATGTACTACATATATAGATACAATACATACATATATACATACATGTACCACATATATACATACAATACATACATATATACATACATGTACCACATATATACATACAATACATACTTGTACCACATATATAGATACAATACATACATATATACATACTTGTACCACATATATAGATACAATACATACATATATACATACTTGTACCACATATATAGATACAATACATACATATATACATACTTGTACCACATATATAGATACAATACATACATATATACATACTTGTACCACATATATAGATACAATACATACATATATACATACTTGTACCACATATATAGATACAATACATACATGTACTACATATAGATACATATATAGATACAATACATACATGTACTACATATAGATACATATATACATACAATACATACATGTACTACATATAGATACATACAATACATACATGTACTACATATAGATACATACATGTACTACATATAGATACATACATGTACTACATATAGATACATATATACATACATGTACTACATATAGATACATATATACATACAATACATACATATAGATACATATATACATACAATACATACATATAGATACATATATACATACAATACATACATATAGATACATATATACATACAATACATACATATAGATACATATATACATACAATACATACATATAGATACATATATACATACAATACATACATATAGATACATATATACATACAATACATACATATAGATACATATATACATACAATACATACATACAATACATATATAAATATAATACGTACGTGTAGGTATATATAGCTGCAAACCATCATCATAGGGAAAATATTAAAAGAAGATACAAAATCATCAAAAGAACTTTTTATAACAAAAGGAAGAGAGTTCAACAGAAGAAACAGGGGAAAACATAAAATGGCAGATGAAGCACACGCCAGCTAGCCAGAAATGTCACTACAACTTAACTTTTCTTCCACTTGCTTTCTCTCTATAGGCATCCATTTTCCAGACATGAAAACTGAAGTTATGCTACTGTTCACATCTAAATGCCACATGATCAAATAGTATACACCTGAGTACCATCAGCATTACTAGTTCCAATCAAACTATCTATATCGCAGTCCCATATCAAGCTCATGACCATACATTCCTTGGCTATTACCTGCAGCAAAAGGGTGCATCTGTTTTGCCCTGACTTCCATTTCCAGAAGTTTCTGGATTGCTTCAGGTTGATTACTTCCACGGTTAATATCAACTGCATTCAAGACAATCATCCAATAAGGTATATCAGCAGAGAGATTTTTTCTTCATTCAACACACATGTACTCTACAAGACAGGACAGCATTCAAGATGGTGATATGACAGCAGAAATGTTAAAACAAAGAAATGAAATTGAGGCATCAAGAAAAGAAATCAGGACAAGTAAAAACATGGCCAAATAGCTTAATATGGGATTTCACTGCCTTCTTTGGTATTATTATTACGTTACCACTCACATAATTTGAGTGTGTTCTTATATTATTTTTCATTCTATGATGAAAAGGCTGAACTCTATGCAAAAAACACCTGGCTCATGTAAGGTTTAGGGCGGGGAAGATGTACACATGTACTGACAGTGTGGTTTGGTTACAGAATCAAAGGATATAGCATAACTTGCAGACAAAATAGCACATTGAACTTTTACCTGGCATTGGAATCCCAAATCCATTGATGTTTGGTTGACGATGTGGTCGTGGCCCAAAGGGTAATACTTGCATCGGGTTTGGTTCCTGCAGAAAAGCAGCAGCAGGCTGATTGCCAGGATGTGGAGGAAATGGAGCATTCCTCAGACGGTCTTGTTGCATATGGTGATAATTGCCTGGCATTTGCATCTGTTGCTGCATCATAGGATGCTGAGTAGGAAGATCAAACCCAGTTACTGCAGGATTGGGGCGATGAAATGGAGGATGCATCATGTTTCCAGAAAATTGGTGACTTGGAGTGTCAATATGAGTCATAATCTCTGGACCCACAAACTTCATCTGAGAAGTCGAGTGAGCAGGAAGTGTCTCAAATGGATGAACTAATGGTCTCCCTTGACTCATTTGCATGGGATGAAATAGGGAAGATGATGGCTGAGCAGGAAGATTGTGAAACATCTCAGGCTCCACCTGATCACGGGGACCATGCAAAAATGACAGTCCTCCTGGACCGACCATAGTCCTTTGATTACTAGGAGCTGCATGAACAGAGGCCAGTTGCTCTACCATCCCCTTATTCAAATTTCCATCAGCCATGTTCACTGGATTGCCACCGCTAAACAAGTTCTCATCTTCAGGCAGCTGAAATCCTATCACTCCATCAAAGTCACCATTTTTGTACGACCTATCAGTCAAGTGCTTTGAGTGCAGTTTAGTTAGAGGATCATCAAAACCTAACCATCTTTCAGCCTTATCAAGCCGCTTAGTTTGCTCTGTATCAACCATGATGTTGTCATTGCTCATCATTTTAGATCCTCCCACACCACCAATTGTTGAAGGGAAAAACCCATCATTTGGAACAGGCAATGACCTTTGAGATTCCAAGCCATCAGACTGTACAGACGCAACCGAGCCACCCCTTTGGATAGAAACAGGAGCTTGCATTGATTGTAACTCGTTCATAAAAGCAGTGCCAAAGAGTGTTTCAAGAGTAATTGCTTTACCAAGAGTACTTTCATCTTCCATAGGCTTGTTATCTTCTGTAAAATTTTCATGTGAACCCACTGAATCAGTGTCCATATTAGACAGATGAATCTTAATCCCAAGATCTGGTCCTTTCTGTAACAAAGAAAGCAGGTGTTGAGATGCACGATCATCAACACGCTCTCTTTGTTCTTCGGGCTTAGAATTTGTACTCCAACCTGGCAACAGTGATTGCAAATTTGGACCATTTTCACTATACTCAGACAAAATTGTCTGCTCAAGATCCTCACAAGTAAGGATAGTGGGGGATGCAGTGTCTTTACTAGATGCATACAGTGGTTCTGAAACCTCAATTGTTGCAGCTAGTGCATTAGACAAAATGTTCTCAGTAGATTTCTCATCACGAGCTTGTGATCTGCTGTTATCACCACCAGCGATTAATGCAAGTAAATCATTTGGCCTAGAAAAGGAATTATCTTTTGCCTTGGTTTCTTCTGCAACATGAAATGTGGCAGCTTAAACAATATTTTCATGAAACTTGACAAAGAATGTATTGTGGAAGTAATAAAATCATAGTTATACCTTCTTCACAGAACCAATGTGCAAACTTCGAAGATTGATTAGTTCTAGGGCTCCATTTATCATCACGTTTTGTATCTTGGTGCTGGATACAGAAGCAAACAAACATACAAGCAGAAAGGATAAGTACATAAATTTTTCTCGTTTGCTGAGATAAACCTAATGCAACAACAGAGCTATAAAAATAAAAAAGAGTGAACAGAGTTGAGCAAGAGATATTCAAAATAGCAGGACAAACTATGTATAAAAATAATTACACTGCACATTGCACAGTGGTAAAGCAGAGAAGGGTAATGACACTAGAGCTAATTGAAAATAAAACATGGCAAGTGTACAGACTTGGGGACTGAAAAGGTAAGCATAGAATTAACTCAACTAATACCTCAGATTCCCCAACAGTCATTGATATAGCACTTCCAAAAATTTGATCCAATATGGATGTTGATTGGTTCAGGTCAGATTCCACTTCAATTTTTTCCTGTGACAACCCAGCACTAAGTTCAATAACTTCAGGACCTTCCATGAGTTTTTGGGTTTCCAAAATACTGGAAGGAGGATTTAAGTTATCATCCAAGCAAGGTTTTTTATTAGAAGCATCTATCTGATTGCCCTTCTTCAAAAATGGTAGATGTATACTCCTATCATCAAGTTGTTGATCACTTGGGCAAAGTTCTTGGGATGACTGAGATGACTGTCTTTCTAAGCCATCAAAAAAGACATTTTGGACAGGGTTGTCCACGCCAGAATGCAACAGGCTTTCCTCACTTTCAGGTTTCCCTGCCTGTGGAAGTGAAAGATAAAAAAGAATGCATAAGAGGTAAAAATCAATCTACTGAGTACTATCACCCCCCCCCCCCACCCCCCTTCTCTTCTCATTTCCCCACTCTTGGTGAGGGAAGACACTAAAAATGTGAAGAATGTCTGCCTGGGTATAATTCACGTTTCTTTATCATTACAGCCTTTAATGTGAATGAAAAAAACAAATGTGTGCTGATAAACGACCAATGCAAATAACATTGAATGCCTCACCTGTTTCAAAGGAGGTTGAATCACAGCTTTAAGGCCAGAGTCCTTATCCAAGAGAGTGCTTCTAAAACCAGGAGGTATAAGTGGTCTTGATGCTGAAGTTTGTGAAGGAAAAGAAGATTTCCCAGAATCATTATCAGTATCAGGTAAAGTTGTAGACACATCCAATTCCTTTCTTCTGTCTAAAAGCCTGCTTTTCTCTTTAACATCATCTGCCAATGCAGACATATCTGAGTCTGTGACAGATTCAGATTCAGGTTTATCCAGATTCAAATACTGCTTCTTTTGAAGGGAAGCCTTATGCTGTTCCTTCCTCATTAACTCAAAAGATGCTGGTAAGAAAGTTGGTCAAAGTAAATTTACTCAGAGATAGCCAAATTATAGCAATGTAATAAAAGATTAAGGTAACATGGATATCATTATGCAAGATTCTAGATATATCTAACAATACCTCTCCTCCTCCTTTCCTCTTCCACTCTATCCTCACTTGCACATTCAACTGAACCAAATGTCTCATTGTTATACGAATCACTAGCATCTCTGCGAGATTGAGGTCCTGCCTGAAGAAGTTGCAGGTGAGGAAAAAAAAGTTCAGCAAAAGATTGTTATGAGCCTAATGGCATACAAACAAACTGACCATAATATTGAACATGTAATTAAGTTAACCTTGTAAGGGCGGGGAGGATGATAAGGCTCATTGCTCTTGCTAAGTTGATAATGATCATTTCCCCGCGTTTTTGACGCAGGTATTCCAGACGCATATACAGATGGTCTTGGAAATGAACCGCTTCCAAGAAGTCCATCATGCTCAGGAGTCTGCCAAGACCGCCGGGGTTGATTTCCATGGCGCCTAACAGATTCTATACAATAGGTAATTTGAGATCATTAACAAGCAGGGCAAATGTTAAAAAATTAGTGTGCCCTTTACGGACCAAAAAATATACATGAGAAAGGGAAATAGGCAATGACATTCAGGAACAAAATTATCCTATGCAGAGATATGAACACACCAAGAGTGAAGGTTAAACAACTTAGGTGCAACATACTAAATGAAGAACAAAACAAACAATAAAATATCAGCATGTGACATTGTCCAGGGCATACACTCTTAACAATTACAACTCATATAAATTATATATGAACATGGGTGGACCATGAATATTCAAAAGTTAGTTTTGAATTCCTATAAACCAATTCAAGCTTCAATAGGGTAGCTCCTATGGGTATTTCATCTTGTTGTGCACCTAAAACAATGCTAGACCCAACTATTGCCAAGACTTCACCAAGCATCTGGTGTAGTGAAACCTCAAACATACAGTCCCAGAAAATTGTTCACTCTTTCACATTCCACAGTAGGAAACTTAGGATGCAAATAATTATATAGAGTAAAAAAATGATGATACTATAGTGTGTATACAAGTATGCACAGAAGTCCTTGTTGAACCTGAATCCCGAGCAGATTGTGTATCGCTTTCCAGATCACTTCGTGCAGAGAAACGGTTTTCCCATCTTCCATAAATCACTCTAGTAGGAGGAGATGAACCATAATCATTGCGTCTGAAGCCTTGTAAAGGAGGCGCAGCAGCAGAGATTCTTTGGCGATCTGGTTCGTCATATGGAGTACTATCGAGCTCACTGACAGATATAAGATGTTAATTGTTCTTTCTTTCTTTCTTTCTGTCTGTCTTTTTTTTTTTTTTTTTTTTTTTTTTTTTTTTTTTTTTTTTTTTTTTGTGAAAGCAAATAAGATATCAAATGATTTGACAGAACAGGTAACAGAAAAAGCAAACATATTGAAACAAGCAAATGAACTCTTTTAGGACAGGTAATTGGCTTCAAACCTCGGAAGTGCTGGCTCAATCCCACTTGGTAGCTTCTTACATATCTCCAATTCACTCAAGGACAAAAGGAACTCCCGTGTATAAGATATTTTTGAATGCCTATGTCATTGCAGAAGCATCCATGTCAAAAGCATGAGCAAATTTAAATCTCTGAGACAGCAGAATACTAAGACAGGAAAACATGATTAGATACGAGTGAATAAACAAATAAAAGACAAGAGTAAATTATTACTTCTCGCTATGTATACTGGAGGACTCTTTACATATCTCCAATTCACTCAAGGAGGATTCTTTACATATCTCCAATTCACTCAAGGGGGATTCTTTACATATCTCCAATTCACTCAAGGACAAAAGGAACTCTCGTGTATAAGATATTTTTGAATGCCTATGTCATTGCAGAAGCATGCATGTCAAAAGCATGAGCAAATTTAAATCTCTGAGACAGCAGAATACTAAGACAGGAAAACATGATTAGATACAAGTGAATAAACAAATAAAAGACAAGAGTAAATTATTACTTCTGGCTATGTATACTGGAGGATTCTTCTGGGAGACTTGGATCTTCATTATCTAAGCTCATTCTGAGAGATTTGAGATTACTTTCCAGAACCAGCTAATACAAGCAGACCCCTGAACTGATAATTGTCCACCACTACCAACAATCTATCTACTCGTATTCATTACCAAAAAACATCATCTCTTAGTCATAGCAAGCAATATTATCCCGGAAATCCCTAATTAACCCCTGGAGATACAAATAAACAATATTTTCACGGAATCGTACCCAAAGGCAATTATGTAACGTCAAATTCCAGTCACCGGCTCGTTAGTTCATACTACGACCGCCATTGAAAACAACAGAATACGAATGATATAATAGCGCAAAAGCAATAGCAAAGCTACAGATTTCGAATAAACCTAATCCACTTGATCGAGCTCAATCTACAAGGAAATCGCGAAAACCATACCAATACTCAATCAATCCTAGCTCCACTCCATAAAAAATATCATTCACAACGACATTCATCGAAATCCGACCTCAAACATACGCATCCTTACGATGATCTCGAATTCAACAATAACGTTTACGAAATCTGAAACCACAAACTCAACCTTCAACAACACCCGTGCAAGAGGAAATTCGTAGGTTTTCTTTCCTATTTCTCTCGTAATCTGATCTTAACGATTTCAACGCTAGGGTTTACTTTTCTATCTGGATCAAGATACAGAAAAGAGAGAGAGTTAGGGCTTCGATGTTCGCAAATTTCCCCACTTCTCCAACTGAATCGCAAGACCTGAGAGAACAATACAGAGACATATATGGACGTGTATATATATATTATATATAGAGAGAGAGAGAACGAAAGAGAGAAAGAGAGGTTCGGTTCCGCGGCGGAGGGGAGGGGTCCGGAGTCTGTAAGGGGTGATTGAGGAGGAAAGCCAAAGAAATGACGTTGGCTACGCTGCACGGCCGGGAAAACTATACTCCGCAATCAATTCACGCGCTGTCTCCATTGCGTGATTCTTGGGCTCACAGGCTCGTAGCTTCTTTCGGAAAGTGCTTTCTTATACTCGCTGCAACTGCGCGTTGAAAGGATTAATAAACAAACAAGAAAAATCTAGTGCTTTTTTATATTTCATTACAAATATTTGAAAAATGCCCCTAAACTTATTATGTTACTTAAAATGAAAATCACAATCATCACTCGATGAGTATATTAAGTAAACATTATCTTATGACATTAGTCGATGAAGAATTATAATAAGATAAACCAGTTTAAGTTATCTACGATTGTTTTTTAAAAAAAACAAATTATCTGCAATTGACCAGTTCAAACTAATAATGTCACTATTGAAATTTGAATTTGTACTTATGTAATTAACAATTTAACCAATTTAGCTCGATTGGTCCCGATAAATTTTATTTATATGCATATGATTATGGTTTTAGTTACAATTAGTATTGTATGGCACCTATATTTAGTCTCATACAATATTTTTTTAATACGACTTTAATAGTTATTTTGTCTAAAATTTAACACAACTTAGACACACATTTTTATATTGGACCTTAGCATCATTGTTGAATTCGGCTTGAAATTCTGTTGAATTCACATACTCTAACATCTTTACATGACTCAAATTTGTTTTACACAAGTTTGATTCTCTTAGATAATGAGTATTAATGTTATTATTTATAAATTACAGGGTCTAAATTATGATTTTAAAAAGTTATGGGGTTAAATTTTTATTACCTCATTTATTCGTTTCTCCTCCCAAGTCCCAAGCGCAGTACTAACTGAAGTCTATCCAGAACTTCGTTATCTTCTTAGCCATTCTGTAAAATCCATTAGCTTCACTGTCACCCCTCGTTTTCCCAATATTTACTCACACGCCATCATGTAGCGAATTCCTCAATGGCATCGTCGTAAATTCTATCAACTTCGGGCCCAATTTTGGTTTATTCTCCCCTGAAGCAGCAGAAATTAAACTAAGTCCCAAAAAACCGAGCATTTCACTTCATCATCCTCCACCCTCAAAGCTTCGCCGTCGCCACTAATGGCGTCTTCTCCAGCGCTTCTCCACTCCAGCGCCTCCTCATTCCACTCCCGATTACCAGTGCATTCCGTCCCCTTGCCGGCCGGAAACCTGAAGTGTTGGCGTCGCGGCCTATGTGTGAAGGCTGCGTCAGGGTCCACAGGGATAGTTCTGGTGGACAAAACGGAATCGGAAAAGACTAACCGGCTCAAGACTTCCTACGTCGAAAAAATCGTTCCTCTGCTTAAAGAGGAATTCAATTACAAGAATATTCTCGAGGTTTTTATCTGTGTATATTAAAACCGTAATTGTGTGTGTGTGTATCAAATGCAAGTAAAATGCTTTGTTTGCATATGATGTTTATATTGATTTGAGTAGGTTCCGAAGGTTGAAAAGATAGTAGTGAACTGTGGAATCGGGGATGCTGCACAAAATTCCAAGGGTCTGGATGCTGCATTGAGTGATTTGGCTCAAATTACAGGGCAAAGGCCTGTGAAGACTAGGGCAAAGAAGGCTATTGCCACATTCAAGATAAGAGAAGATCAGCCTCTTGGAATTGCTGTCACTCTTAGAGGAAAGGTACACCATTTCTTCTTCATATGAGTTCTGAGTATCTTTCATAATTACTAATTTTGTGAAATTGTTTTTCCCAGAGACTACTGAATATTACTAATTTATTAGTACTGTAATTGAAATGCTTAGCACATATAGTGTGATGAGGAATTAATGATTGGTGTTGTGTGCCAACTGCCAAGTAATTGTTGTTAGGTAAAATTGTCATCATGAGGACAGTGATGTGTTGCAAAAATTCAAACGGTGCAAAGAATAATAACTAGATTTGTAGCCTCCCTAATTGGCGTGCTTCAGATAGTCAAAGACCTTTTAATAATTTCGGCATGTCATAGATGCACTTTCTGCAAATGGATAACTGCAGAACTATTAAGTTGAATGCACTTGTGTGGAGTATTCACACAAGGGAGTTGTTGCCAGGATAGGCAAGTAAATGCAGCCCATGAGTTGAATGTTTGACAGCATTGAATTTCCAGTAGCATTTTAACGCAAATGGTGTTGATTATTTGATTTCAGGACTTTAGCAGTCACTGTTACTGAATCTATTGCTATTCATACTTGGAGATCATCTTTGGACTTTGTTTGTTAATTGTTATGGCAGGTAATGTATGCATTTCTAGATCGCCTCATCAATCTGGGGCTTCCTAGGACAAGGGATTTCCAAGGTGTTAGCCCCAACAGTTTTGATGGCCACGGGAATTACAGCATTGGATTTCGTGACCAGAGTGTGTTCCCAGAGCTAACCTCTGATATACTTGGGAAGGCAAGAGGAATGGATGTTTGCATTACTACAACTGCCAAAACTGATAAAGAAGGGCAGCGATTGCTGGCTCTGATGGGAATGCCATTCAGGGAGGGTGGCGGTGGCCAATTAACTGATGTCCGAAAGAAGAAGCTCAAGTCTCACCACTTCGACTCAAAAGCAAAGCAAAAAGCAAGGAAATGAGTATGGTTCTTTTTCCCGAGGGATCAAGAAGTTGTAACACGTTCTGTACTTCTGTTTGTTTGTTAATTAATCATTCAACATGAATGATGTGTAGTTAAACCAATCAACTAGCACATTGCTGCTAATATATACATTTTTATTGTTCATTGCAGTGCTGATATCTAATGAAATTTTGCTACAATTCTACAGCTGGCTACAAGACTAATGCAATTTTACCAACTTTTGCCCCTCAAATTTCCCTCAGTAAATTATGCTTTTGTTAAAATCTCAGTTCATCAATCATTATGTATTTATGTTAGCTTATCAGAAGAAATAACAATATGGTTTACAACCTTAAAGGACATGATTTACCCATATTTCTGCAGTATTGCAGAACCTAGTCAACACATATGCCCATAAGGCCATAACAGTTTAAATTCCCCCTACAGACAACCAGACTTTGGTTTCTAAATTCAGACAAGAAACAAAAGCCAATCAAGAAAAATAGGTAATTGTTTTAGAAGCCTATTTCTTTTAGTAGTATGACAAAACCACAGATTTTAACACCAATAATAACATGATTGTGAAGTCAAAGTGCCCCAAATAAAAAGTAAACATTAGTTAAAGGTCAGCAACACTGGGTTGTCCTTATTCATTAGTATACCTATTCTACCACTACAGTGGTATTTTCACTGTCCAAACATTACCACCCAAACAAAAAAAATAGTAGGAACAAAACCCTAACATAACCTAAATAGAGTTTCACGATTGCGATGCTTCCACTTATTCTAATGCTTCCACTTGCGAGCTACATAAGTTGTGTTGTAGTATTTTAGCAGTATACATCGTACTCTGCAAATCGTTCAATGAGTTGGGTCTGGATTGAATTTTAGAGCTTCCAGCCAGATGAGCTCCTTAATGTTTTCTTCAGTGAAGGATGGCTGGTCAAAATCGAAATTGAAAGGCATAGGACAAACAGGTTCCTCATTGATATTATGAAGAGGCGCCAAGTAGGGATGGCAGAGTGCCCCTTCGACTGCCAAAAAAAAGGGCACATCACATATTAAAAGATAGAGGCAGTAAAATGTGCAGTCAGGAATAATGAACACAAAATCACTTATTCATTACAAATTCTTTATCCCCATAGAGCCTGGATGACTGGATGGTTTAAAAGCCACCCTTTGTTCCATGAATTCCAATATTATACTTGTATACTTGAATATATATCCCAAATAAGGTTGTCCTCCATCTTGAGTTGTAGATTTTTTATTTTTTATTTTTGGTCAGGCCATGAGGTGTCCTGAGCAGGCCCTAACTGTAGGAGGCACCTTTAAGCTCGTACCATACTCAGACTAATCCCCATTCGCACCTTGAGTTGTAAATTTTTTTTTTAACATCTTTATTCGCTCGGAGATCAGAAATTATTAACTAGATTACCCTCCATCTAGTGATTTCAATATGAACATGGATATTCAAAAAAATAAAGTAAAATCACGCTACCTGTAATACGCTTGCTAGGATCAAACACTAGCATTTTTTCAAGCAAATCAACAGCTCCAGGAGAGGAATTGGGAAATCTAGACGAGAATTGTTGCTTTGGGTACTGTGGAAGCTGCCTAACGTACCTTCGGGCATTTTCACTCCGAAGAAACCCAAGGCTTGCGTCATCAGGTGATCCTATGAGCTTTTGAAGAATATAACACCAATTTGCTGGTCAGTATGAAAATTTGACCAAACACAAGCCTTTCTTAGGCATGCAAGTGAAAATAGAAGAAATTTGGATTATGGAAAGAGAACAGGTAGACATGATGCCAAAAATCATACCTCTGTGATAAGTCTCAACTGATGAACATAATCTTTGCCAGGAAAGAGGGGTTGTCTTGTCATGATTTCACCAAGTATGCAACCAACTGACCAAATATCAATTGCTGCTGTGTATTCTGAACAGTTCAACAGCAATTCTGGAGCACGATACCAACGAGTTACAACATATTCAGTCATGAAATCTGTCTCGGATGTTGTCCTTGCGAGCCCAAAATCAGCTATCTTCAGGTCACAATTAGCATTGAGAAGCAAATTGCTAGGCTTTAGGTCTCGGTGCAATATATTGGCAGAATGAACATACTTGAGGCCACGTAATATTTGGTACAGGAAGTACTGAAAAAGCAGTAACAACTATAGTTAGTGCCCACCACCACCCTATTGAGGGCTTAAAGAAATAAAGGAACCACACAAAATTAGAGATCTTGAAAGGATATGGGCACCCAATCCACTTGTATCTGTGACACATTGTCTACATGTATACATGGACCCACACACACAATCATACCCGACAATGATCATCAGTCAAAGGCTGGTTTGATTTGATAATCTGATGAAGATCAGTATCCATCAGTTCAGAAACAATGTAGACATCATTGAAGTTTTCTTTATTCAGGGGCCGTATTATGTCTTTAATGGACATTACCTGAAGACGAGAAAAAAAAATCAGCTTCATGATTTCATCAAGTATATAAATCAGGAAAACAAATACATTTAAACAAGAAAAGGAAGAATAATAATCATGATCTCAATGAAAGGAATAAGTTACTGCAGATTACAGTAAAGAGGAAATCAGTGGCGATATTGCAATCTCCACAAAACTAGCATTCTTGGTTATATATCGCCACATTTTTCAGTATCACATGGGGAACAGAAAATATAAAGCATACTAGAAAATGATATTTGTCACAGGTAAGGGCTCCTGGTTTCCTTGGATGAAATTGCAGTAATGAAATTTTCAAATCAGGAGTCCATCAAAGAATCCGTGAATGCAGAACTGCCATAAAAGAACACACCATAGAACAGTTAACTTAAGCTTCTGGATATTTATAACTGCAAACTTACATTATCATGATCCATGTGACGAAGAAGCTTTATCTCTCGCAGTGTCCTTTTGGCATCTATTCTATTATCAAAGGCATTGCCAATCTTCTTGATGGCAACTTCCTCACCTGTCTCTGAGTTCATAGCGGCACTGAAGCAAACAAAAAGTTAATGTTTTTCCTTCACAATTCACATTGAAAATGAAACAGAAGAAAAGAAGCCAACTAAAAAGAATTCACTTGAGCCAATTGCATTGCATTCGTCAGAGCACACAGGAACACATGAGCCAAAACATAAACAAAAACTACCCAACTCTATTTCCCAGAAGCTTGGCTAATGTTTATAAATGTGGAGACATAATGCCAACTGGTCAGACATAGCTGAATTCATTTTTATTAACATTTTGGGAAAATGTTTTCCTTTTAGCAATTAGACAATATATTATCCCAAACTCAGAGGAATAAAAATTGTAACCATACAAATTTGCCAGAACCCGAGAATAAAACTCATAAGTTTAAAAGCAGACATGAATATCTACTTATCTCCTTGTCTATAATACTTCTTTTGGTAATTAATCTTACACAATACTTCTCTGAAATTGATACCTTCTAGGTGTATATTTTTAAACACCAAACAACCGATCTAAACCTTAACAGAACTATATTTAATGAATCATTCCTCATTTACATATGTCCAACAACAGTATAATCTAAGCAACCAGCAAATGATGAAATGAAGCAGTAAAATTCACCCTAAAAAATAAAAAGTAAAAAGCCCACGTCCATTTTCATTGAATCCATTCATAACACACAAAGTAACAATGAAAATCAAATCAAATCAAGCAAAAGTAACAAAAGGACTAGAAACTGAAGTGATTTAGTATTTTCCTCTTACCAAACGATGCCGTAAGCGCCACGACCCACTGGCCTAATAGGGGGGACATACTTTCTAGGAACTTCAAAAAGGTGCCCATATACATTGTACTGCACATAGCGCCCGCCATGAATAGGTATTCCCCTGATGTTGCTATGACCATGGCCGCCATGATCAGCCGCACCAGAGCTCGATTCCATCAGCGACGTAACCAACAAAAAAAAAAAAAAAAAAAAAAAAAAATTGAAAAAGCCCGTCTGGAAAGAACCAAAACCTACGAAAAACCCAGCTCAAGAAACACAATCTTGGGCGAGTTTGGGATCCTTGTATCGGTTGATAGTCTCACAAGAAGAGGCAAAAGAAGAGCCTTTTGACATTTCCGCTCTTCACCCCGTTTTCCCAGACTTTTCTTTGGTTTTATTCTGAATTTGTGGATCTTTCTTGCTACTGTGTAAACTTTTGAACTGGAAAACGGAGTGGGGCTTGAGATTACCCGTGAAGAAAATTGGCTTTTCCTCTTTTCCAAAGCATGGAGTGTGAATGGTGAATCTTTCACCATACAAGTGGGCAATTGTCTGATGACATATTAGCTTTTCTTCCTTTCGTGACACATACCTATATTGGTTAAACTAACCAATTAAATCTTGTATGTGGACTGTGGTGATGGTTTCTTCTGTGGTCTGTGGATTAGGATTTAGGAAATTGGAAATATATAATGCAGAGACGACTTAGTAGATTTTGGTTTGGAAGTCAACTATTTTTCTAAGTAGGGGTTGAACCCTTAGAATACACAACAATGACAATAGTTTTCTATTTCTACCATCTATAGTCTAATACTAACTTCAATTGACTATATAAGGATAATTGACTATATAAGGATTGATTTTAGAAATTTTCAACTAAACGTTTCTAACAAAGTCAATGGTGATAGTTCTATGAATGTATTAATAGATAATGTACACTATAAAGAAGCATTCCGAAAATTTAGATATTAGTAAAACTTCTTTCAAAAGGTTAATCCTCCAACATAGCATTTGGAATGATGTAATCACGGTGACTCAATGGCTCAGCAAACAAAGCCGCACACAAGGGATCTATCCACTTTGGGTATAATCCCCTACACTACCGCCACCAAAGTTTAAATATTAATCTTTTCTCTCAAATACTGTCTACAGAACTCCAAATATTATCTAATGAACCATTGAGCTAAGCCCGTGTAGGCAAATTTAGATATTAGTAAAACTTTGTCCGCTCAAGTTATATGGAGAAGTTTTTAATGTCTATTTTTTCCTCCACATGTGATATGACCATATACAATTGAAAAGTCTTGTCCACCCAAATTTACATGGAGAAGTTTTTAATAATTTTGCCTCCATATCATAGAGAAGTATTAAATGTCCATTGTTGCCTCCATATGACCATATGGAGAAGTTTCAATGTCATAATTGCATCCATACAACTCTATATACAACTGAAAGCCTTGTCCACCCAAGCTTACATGGAGAATTTTTATGTCCATTTCGTCTTATACCATATACAAATTGAGTTCAATATCTTTTACACCTCGTTTAGTTCATAGAAAATAAATAAAAAGAAATTGAGTTTAAACTTATTTAGTTGAAAAAAAAAATTATTGTGAATAATTGATATAATATAAACACTCAAATACTGCTACATGATAAAAATATGCGAGAATAATATAAAATTCATATTACAATTTTTCACAAAAAAAATAATAATAATAAAGAATCAATTTTCTTCAAATTTGAAGAATTTATTTTCTATTGAATAAACAAAATAAAATCTATTTTTCCTAAAATTCTAAGAAAAAGTTCTCCTAGAAAAATATTTCCCTGTAAAACAGGCTATTAGTTCAGATTTGAGAGGATAATAAATAATGCACAAACATTTAAGCAAGCAAAATATACTTATATACATCATTACAATAGTAAAAGTGTACAAAACATGTAAATATTATGACATTATCAGACCACAAATGACTACTAATATCACAATTGCTGACACATACTGTACTACTATGCGCTACTATATATTCAACACAGTAACAGGAAACCGCACATTTTAACCCCTTTGCATACAGATGATCATAGTCAACATACATATTACCAAAGAGTCACCTCAGAGTTGGCTGTTCTGCATTGTTCTCTTGTGATGGGCTGGCATTGTTGCTCCCAATTCTTAGGTTACAAAGCAAAGCATCACGTCCAGTAAGAACAATTTGGAAGAATCCATCAACTTCCTTTGCCAAACCATCGAGTCCTTTGGAAAGTCGATCTGCCATCTTTGCCAAACCTGAAGTCTCGTGTGGCAATACATCAGCTCCGATAGGGTTTACTCCATCCTGTATGATGGGATGCAGTTTCTCCACACTTGCATGAATGGCTTCAAGGTCCTTCAATGCTGTTGCTGCTCCACTAGAATATATGTTCCTCATTTCCCTGTTAATGAAACCCTGCAGATCAACATAAGCATCGGCCCATAGGCAAGTCTCGAGGACCTCTAGCTCCTTCAAGTTGCCCACAGACCCTGAGAAAGCAACAGCAAACACACTGCAAATGAAAATGGTTACCATCCGGACTCCATACAAAGCTTGCATCAAAACCTTCCCTTTTGCAGAATTTTTTATCTTAGGTAAGTTCAAACTTTCAGTGAGGGTGTTCAACTTCTCAAAGCATCGCTCCAATCTTGGATTTTGAGAATTCATATGCTGCCTCCATCCATTCAATGATGAGCATGCTTGCATAATTTGTTTTTCTTCACCCTCCAGGTAATGCACAGCACAGCTAAGAAAAAGATTGGCTTGGTTGATCCTTGTGATCTCAGAGCTGATAGAAGTACAAATATCCAGTAACCTCACACTGTTGTCCAAGTACACATCAATCCACTTCTCATCCCAATCAGATACAGGAAATTCAAGTGCAGTTATAAGTTCTTTAGTTTCTATATGGATTTGAGAAAGTGAAACAATTGCTTGCTGCATCCATAATAAGCTTATGACATCTTCCCCGCCTCCAGGAATGAGACTTTTAAGCTTACCTGCCAATGACTCCTCAAAAGACTTCAACAAAGAAATAAGTCTTGGAGACAGGTGTGAGCCCTTAGGTAATATCATTCTGAGGGGATTTCCAAACGAGAAAAATGGTCGGTGTGGCTCCTGTGGACGACTCATTTCGTACAAGTAATATACAGAAACTGCATGGAAATTTGAGAGAGAACATTGAGAAAGGTGTTGAGTTACTTAGCGTAGCTCAAATTGAAGTTTAAACTATAGGCAAGGTAGAAAATTATATTATGCAACACTATCATCCTCAAGCGGCTCCCTCCTGGTGGAAGGGAGTAAGATTTGAACCCAGGATCTCTTCCTGCTCGAGTCTGAGACCATGCTGAGTTTGCTCTGTCTCAGAGCAAAGCTTAAATTGTTAGAGAGGGTATACATATATCATACCGTTTTGATATGTAATAGATCTAACTAACTTTGCTTTGATATCTCTGAGAAGGTTGAAATATTTCATTTTCAACACACTAACTTCTCAGAAATTTCATTATTACTAACATGACAAGCTTAAACATAAATTAAAAGCTAAATCATCGCCATCTACCCAAACAAACTTACAATAATCATCAAATTTCAATATTATAGTAACAAACTTTCTAGATCTGAAAATTTCAATAGCTATAAACTTAACTTTGAAATAATCAAACAAACATCAGGAAACTAAACATCAATTAACCGAAGAAATAAAAAACGACATCGAAACACTCACCAAACGTTTTGCTATTCAAATCTGAAGCCGATCCAGACGGTCAAATCCAACGATTCAAACTAAGCTAAATCAAGATGCCAAATTCAAACCCTGAGTTATACACAAGCATACATACACAAAACAGTAGATATATTACACACGCGAAGAGGAAGAGACCGTACCTGAGCGAATAATATACGGATACAGAGAGGCGAAGTCGGTAGAATATTAGCCGCAGACGGCGCTTGCGATAAGGGTTTCGCACAAGTATTGACAAATGACAATATAGGGTTTCGTATCCTTAGATGATAAAATGACCGTTGAAATGGTGCGTTTTGCGTGACGAGATATATGAGTGGGTGTAAATAGCTCATTTCAACGGTGTCGATTGTTTGTGTTTAGAGTATGGTGAGGATGCCTGTATTCGATTATAGTTTGGGCCGGTTCTTCTTTCAGGATAGAAATATAAGCCTAATTATGAATATTATTAGGCCCAACTGGAAGTCTTAAACCATAAACAAGGTAAACCGCATGGGCAAATATTGTGTGAATCACTGTCCAAAACGACGTTGTTGAATTTTATGAGTTAAAATCATGTATTTTATGTGTTAGAAAGTTAGAATAATGTATATTATGTGTTTGAACAATGTACTTTATGAAAATAATGTACATTATGTGTTATAACAATGAAACTTATGGGGTAAGATAATGTACTTTATGAGTTAGAACAATATACATTATAAGTTATGAAAATGTATATTATAGTGAGTTGCATTAAAAAAAAATTGTAAAACGACGTCATTTTTGGACTGTGGTCCACACAACAACTATTGAACTGCACACAATTTTGTGGATCATGGTCCACACAATAACTATTAAACTGCATGGTATTAAATTACATGGTATGAGATGAGCATGGCCATTGGATCAAAGGCATTGCAACAAAAATCGGGGATACGAGAGTTTCTCAGCTGAGTTGTGGGGCCTAAGTGAGAGTCTACGGCTCTACCTGAGGGAGGGTTTTGACACGGTCTAGGTGGAAATGGATTCGACAGCAGTAGTGGTCGTGATGATCAAGGGGAATCGTAGTGAAGGGATCATGGCAGGCTTGATCAAAGACTGCTTAGATCTTAGCAGTAAATTCCACATGTTTAAAATCTCACACATAATGAGAGAAGGTAAGAAATGTGTTGATTGGCTCCGCAAACTTCGGTCAAAATATTGATTGGGGGACTCTTATGTTGGACTATCCTCCAGCGGATATGAATGATATTCTCCACGCAAAATCTCGTAACACGCCTAGTTTAAGGGTTAAGTAATACTCTCTTGGAAGGACTTCTGATGTACCCAACAAAAAAAACTTAGTTAATTCTTTCGGATTTTGATTGAAATTTCGATATCATAATTCGTGCAGATAATCTCATAGAAGGCCAACTATTATTGTAATTACTAGACATACAAGTAATACATATTCTTCATTATTGTGAAATGCATAAAAATATAGCGAGTGAATGGGAAATATATGTATATAACAACCCTTTATAATTCAATTTTCAGAGTATTACAAAATAAACAAAGCGTAATGAATGATAAGTAGCATTTTCCATATTTGTATGAATCTTTACAACATTTTAGAATGAGTATTTTGTAAAACAACAAAGCTTCAAACAAGCTATCTAAAGTTAAGAGAATAGTTTAATCCAGAATTTAAGTGGAAAAAAAAAAAAAAAAAACATTATTCAAACCCCCTTAAATCAGCAAGAATGCTTAATTGAATCCTAATGCAACATTGTGTGTCAACCCATGTGTCCACACGTCAGTTTATGCATATGTTGCATAAGCGGTAACTTATTATTATGACTTTATTAAATATTTTTATAAGTATAAGAGGTTAAATAATGGAGCTTTTTTCAATTTAAAATTTTGATTGCAATATTCTCCCGACTTATGAAACTTATTTGATCACATTTTTAAAAGTAAAAGACTAAGGTGCGGCACTATGCATCTATGCCATAATTTATTTGGTAATAATCCAACCATCCAAATTCAAATTCGGATTATAATTAAATTTGAAACTTTGAACTATAAAGGGCTCATCACCACTCACTCCTCCTCCAAAAATTGATATAGAAGACAAGTTACGGAATGTATTTCAATGGACCTATATACATCAAAATATTTGTACACTAAGAACATTCACACTAAGGGGAGAATGTGGAGATAATGTCAGATGCTTTCTTTTGAATGGGGTAAATAACTAGTGTGGAGAAGAAAGAATGGTGGGAAGAATAGGCTTGCAAATATGGGGAGTATGGAAAAAAAAATAAAAAAAATAAAAAAGAGAGATCACATGTTGTGCGCGTTTGGCGAACAGCATGGCCACAGCTGGGCGCGCCGAACGGCGCTGTTCGGTGCGCCTGACATATTTTTTTTTTTGGTTTTGTTTTTTTTTTTCCTCCCCTTCCAACATTCTCTTTCTTAATCACTTTTACATTCTCCCTTAAATCTCCCCAACTGATGCGGATGCTCTAAGAGCATATCCATCAATGCATCTTGGTGTGATCTTTGAAAAAAACAAGGCTTATGTGGAGGAGAGAAGGTGAAGAGAGAAAAACTTTTTATATTTGTAGGAGGAGAGGTTTTTGGACTGAGCATGTGGGGTCCACATGAAGAATTGGCAGACATTTGTTCGCGTTCAGCACACCTTGCGCGCGCTGGGCGCATAAAAGGTTCTATTTAATTTTTTTTTTCTCTCCTCTTCCATATTCTCGTTCCTAATTACACTTGTAAAAACTCCTCATGAATTACAACTAAGGATGCCCTAATACTCAATATAAGGCAAAATCTATTTTTGTTAGTTAGTTAGTTTTTTTTTTTTTTTTTTTGGGTGGTGGATAGGATTCAAGTACGGAGTATAATTAAAGCTATCACATGGATGCAGACACACCCACAAGAAACCTCTCTGTACTTCCATAAATGCTCTAGTCGCCCCTGCCGTCATCTTCAATAAAACCTCTCTGCTTATACGCAACTCTCACGACTAAAAAGTTTCAAGTTATGACAATCTCCGAAATTTTACGCACACAAAGACCAGCTTTTTACGGGTCAAATACTTTGACGGTCTATAAATTTAAGTAATCACTCACAGGGAAACCAAATTCTTACTAGTCAAATATGATGAGATATGTATAAAAGGAGTGATCCAGTGATAAAATATGAATATCATACTCAAAAAGATACGAATTTAATTTTTATCAATATTCTTTCAGTTGATCCCGATCTAGAGCACATGAATTTGAATCCAAAATCTTTTTGGGTGATTTTGATACCATATTGAAGAAGTATTTGCCACTAAAACAGATCTAGATCCCAAATAAAATTAATATTTGAGGGGGTTAGGCATACCTAATCATTTATTCAGTATTATACTAAAGACTGAAAGCACCAATGGAGTTAAAGAAAAGATGTGTAGTAATAATAGACTAATAGCAACATGACCAAAAAAAAAAAAGATCACTTGATTTACACCAAATTATATTCATACACTAAAATATTTTTTTTTTTGTTGGAAATATACACTAAAATAATTTGTATTTTTATAAATGTTTTGAAATACTCAAGGTAATATATCTATGACCACCAATTTAAAAGGGTAACTGAAATACTATCATAATACATAATATAATTTAATTTTGTTTAGTTTAATTATTTTAATATAAAATATAATTATAAATAATAATATTTTAAAATAAAATTTATGTTTTCAGCTTTTTTAATTTTTAATTATTTATAGTCATTATTAATCTCATTTTAAAATCAGAGATCTTTAAGTCTTTATAATTAATTTCTATTTTCTAATAATATAAATTTTAAAAAGAAACAATTGACAAAAAGATTTTAAAAAGTTCTACACCAAATTTGTGTAAATGAATAGTATTACACCATATTTGGTAACATTATCATTTACACCAACATTTTGGTGTAGAATTTCATGTATTCCTTGGAGGAAGGTTGCATCAAATTTTTATACCAAAATGGTGTTTTGGTGCCTTCTTTGGAAATGGTCGGAAGAATGTGAAAGCATATGAAATTTATAACCCAATGGGCTTAAGTTTGTAGTTTTTTTTATTCCCGACTAATGTAATAAGTTCTGATTGGAGTTTTACTCCCTCAGAGCCCACTTATCATGGCAAATTATCGTATGAACCAAAACAAAAAGTACATTTTTAATATACTAAAAATACATTATTCGTGTACTAGATGTACATTATACAAAATAATATACTTTCAGTACTCAAATAATGTACATTTCCCGAATACAATGTACATTTTTAATATACTAAAAGTATATTATTTGTATACTGAATATACATTATTTGATAGCATGGTCCACACAATAATGATTGTCGTTTTTCCCTAATGGAGTTGCACACATATCTCTCTCTCATGTGAGCTAATCCTTGAAAGATTCTTTAAGCACTAGAAGAATATAAAGTGCAGAAAAGAACAGAGAAACAAACCCAAAAAAAAGAATAAAAAATGGTGAATTTAACAACAGAATTAAAACCAATATGATGTCCAACTCCAGATATTGAGTAGAGTAACGGTAGAAAAGCAGAGAATAATGATGTTTGGCTAATGCATCTAAACAGCCAGCTCATAATTCAGTGCAAGTGTCCTTATCATGCTGCATAGACATGAAACCTACAGGCAATGAAAGCGATATACCTAAACAATGACCCCAGTTCTAACCAAAACATGAATCCTGCCTAGTTAGGACAAGGATAACTGAAGGACATAAAATGATTTTCTTGAAAAAGAAGTTCCAATTATACTCGCTATATTAGCTGGCCAATTTGAGCAAATTCTAAAAAATAGCTGGTTAGTGGGCCTTTGATGCGTACCTGTTGTGACTTGTGAGACTCTGATCACGGCACTCCGTTGTACTACTGGTGCCTGTGCGATTAAGACAGCCAACTGAATATCGAGGAAAACACATCAACACGAACAAGAGTTATAAGCGAGAGGGGTAATCAAGCCAAATCCAATGAATCACTGTTATAAGAATATCAAATTATGGAGTAATATTATGAGATGTACAACTGCAATTAATGCTGTGAACAAACAAGCCATAAATATAGCCAAAAATAGTAAAACCGGGGGCGTGATCAACTACAGTGCTATCAGGTGGGTGGAGGGCAAAAAGACTTCAATAGGCATAAACAAATTGCAAAACGCTTTGGATCGTGCATATGATATTATCTCTTGTAATGTTATCTCCATCTAGTTGGTGGGTTATGGCTCCTACTACTGTCGCCTTCACTGGTATCAGAAGCCC